GTATCTTTTTCTGTTTGTTTCATTTCACATGACAGACATAAATGTGAACCATTGAAAGCAGAGATGAATATTTAAACACTTCATCGCTTCTTGTTTACACAGATACATTCCAGTGTTGGCAGACTATTATGTGATATCTCATTTCCAGGTTATGTATGACAGCACTTCCCTGTGGTAAGCTCGTGGTAAAAAATGATACTTGATACTGTGGTGCTTTACTGTAGCAAGGGAAGGGTCTTTGATCTTAGTTAATGAATGGCAAATAGTACAATATAAACTGTATATTGGAATTCAGAACTATGTGTCCCAGCTGACTTGTGACTGGCAGTTGATGGGTAAGGGTCTTTTTCCATCACCTTGTTTGTTTGAATGTGTCCATATTATCCATATTGTACAGAATTTTCAAATCACTGATGCATAATTCATTCTCCACCTGTCATTTTGACTGATAATTGCTGGCACTGCTTCACAGGGTACCTTCCTGTAATTAGACCAAATGGCATAATTATCAATTGAAGGGTCCAACACGCAGGCAGGTCGACAGGTTGAGGGAAAGCTTGTCCTGAACTGAACAAGCCAAACACTGCGTGTTTCCATTGGAATTTTAAACTGTCTGGTAACTAGAGCGAGGAAACGAACAACCGTTGAATTGAGCAGGAATTGAGCGTGTGACTTTGTAAGTGGTCACCAGTTGTTAAAGTGGAGTTTCAGGCCTTTGGTGAAAATAGACTCGCAAATGTGTGTTTAAAGCATCTAATAACTACTAGTGTCTGGGAATGCAGAGGACATGTGGTGCAGACAGTCAGCTGGCCGCGGTGTCGGCCTGTCAGTCTATCCTTTTCACGCCATCATGTGTAATGTAATGAGGAGCAGAGATGAGATGATGGATACCAGAGAGGTGATGTCACCATCCAGACATGATGTTGGTATGATTTGATTTTTTTTGCAGTGACTCCTGGACTGTACCAAGGTCCAGGTGCTACAGACTTACATCCATCAATTCAATCCAACCATATTCTAAACCAATCATCTTTCTAAACCACCTGAGCAATGCCAAGTCCATGCTTGGCTTCATTTTATTTACAGCGGGAATTATATATATATTTTTTTTTTAATATCACACAATCTTCTGCTACAATTCACTGCTGATATAATTCACATTTGTGTATTAACAATAAACATGTATAATGTGAAATCTGCTTGTAATGATAAACCCACAGAGAATTATCAGCCAACTGAACCATTCAGTGTCTTTTAGCGCATTGTTTTGGTGTTACGGCCTATAACTTCACTGTTTTGATTAACTCTCATCAACCTTGTTTCCTGTCACAGCAGGCAGATTTATCCAGCAAAAAAAAAAAAATAAAATCCCACTGTATGATAGACAGACAAAGTTTGCGATTAGCTGGTGAACATAGTGGAGCATTTAGCAGCTAAATAGGCAGATATTTCCTTCAGGAGCTAAAAGCAGAGTAAATATTGGAGCATTAGCCGAAGACATGACTGAATGAATGCTAACGTTGCTCTGTTGCATGTTATCAAGTTCATACCAATTTGAGATGATAGTCTGTCGTTGTTGTGTTAAAAGATATGTTGCTTTTTTTCATTTAAACCTTCAGATTTGGATATTCAAACAGCCAACATCCAGTCACAGGCTGACTTCTCTAACTTGCTTCATGTATAGTTCACCTCACAAACTAACTTTTCTAAACATACGACTTGCTATCTACCTCTTATAATTTATCTATGGTATGTTACATAACACATTATACAAAATGTATCAAGAAAAAAAAATCTGTGACAGATACTCAAAAACTAACCAACTCACAGTTTTATGATAATGTACAGGTAATGCATGTTGTGTTGATAGAGCATGGGCAGAGCTATCACATGAGAGATATAGTTAAAGATGTGATGTAAAGAAACTTTTATGATCCCATGACTAAATTATCATCTAATCATGAGTGGGATATTGATGTAAGGATGTACACATGTTATGATATGAAGAGATAAGCTGTTTAATAGAAAGTAAAGAAGAGACAAAGAGGATGAGTAGCATTTTACTTTCACATATATTAAAAATGATGATTGCTTAACTTTTGTCAAAGCCTCTGTGGTTTGAGGTTCTGCATAATTCTAGTTAATGTCACAAATTTCAGTTTCACATCATTTTTTCCACCTCTTTACATTTTTATCTGTCACAAGAATACTATGCTTATACTTAATTGTTGTTTATGATTGACGATGCCTCTATAAGGGACCTGAGCTGATGTTAAGCTCAGGTTCTTCCTTCCTGAGAGCAGCATTTTCTTTCCCAGGATGGTCTTTCTGTCGCACTGTGGCTATTTGTGAAAGCTGCACTGCTCACAGTAACATGAGCCTCTATAGACAGAGGCGTTTGTGCTAATGAATCTCATTTGACGGCTAAATCTCTGTGATTAACAGCCAACTCTTTGCCTTTTATTTCCCACCCTGCACCATTATAAACACCCAACCAAACCCCAAGTTGTTTCAGGCCTGCTATAAAAATATCTGCTTACTCCAGTCCACTGTGTTTAAAAGGCTGATGTGAATGTCGATGAGTAAGTGGAGTGTGATGTGGAGCAGCATCTCTCCAGAGGAAAACTAGATGTATAATGTCTGTACCACTCAGACCAGCTTTTTGTCTGTAACGTCATAACGTCAAACACACTGTCAGAGCAATGTACAGTCCATGTAGGTAGCTGTTACACTACTATACATGCAAAACATAAATGCTAGGAGGCAATTATTGCGATTTATAGAGCACTAAAAGTCAGATCAGTAACACCCAGAGAATAATTAGGTGAGTGGTTCAGTGTCTCAGTTAAGAGCATTTAACCATTTGACCTTACTCAGACTCAGACTAATTGTATGTCACGCCTCCTATAGGTCAAACTGTCCTGATTACTGAGTTGGTACAGTTAGATAGAGAAGAGGTTTATTCCTCATAGCAGACTGAGTAAAGAGCTTTACCGTGTAGCCGAAACTGTGAAGAACAGTTTTCAGATTTATTTATTTTAACCATAATCATCAACTTTAATAAATATTGTTTCTATTGTTGAGTATTATATTGATGGCCATAGCTCTGTGATGCTGTACTTATGCACAGCTGTGAGCTAAATGCTAAAGTCAGCATGTTAACATACTTACTAATTAATAGTGTAATAGTAACTTAGCATGTTAGCATGCCAACGTCTGTTAATTAGCATTAAACATAAAGTACAGCTAAGACAGATGGCAATGCCATCAGGTTTAGTTATGCTGATATTTGGTTATTAGCCAAACTACTGGACAAATTAAAATTTTGGCCCGATGATGGAGCTACATAGAAAGTCAGGGGATCACCAAAGTTACCACAATTTATCCAGAGGGGACATGACTGTGTTTACCAAATTTCCTTTCCCACATGTTAATGTCAAACAAATGTTGGTTGACACATATGGAGTAGTGTGGATGGCAGGAGGAAATGTAGGAAAAGAGATGCGTTATAAAACTAAAACCTAATAGTGTGGGTGTAACCTTAGAGGGGATCACCAAAGTAATTAGGATTCTCCATTTGGGGATGTAGAAATATTTACCCAGATAAGTTTTACCAGCTGGTGGTGCTACATGAGCAGTCAGGGGATCAACAAAGTCATGAGGATATGTCCTCTGTGGCCCCTGAATGCCTTTAACCAGCATCCCACCAATCTATCTAATAGATGTCGAGGTATTTCATCCTGGACCACAGAAGTGGACAGACTGACAAACTGACAAACTGACAGACAGACTTTGCCATTCCTAGAGCCATGCTGCTGGTGTGGCTAAAAATTAAACAACTACAAGGGCACTCATAGAGTGCAGACCTCTGCCATGGTTAGTGTCAAACAACATACACCAGACTTTAGAGAAAAAAATTCAAATTCATAGTAAATGATCTGCATCATCCCCCAAAATTTAATGGGTTCTTCCCTGGCCTATGCCCCATCCCTCCACCAAGTTCAGTGCAAGTCAGTTCATTACTTTTTGCATAATCCTGCTTACTAACAAACAAACAAACAAGCAAGTAAGCAAACACACAGACATGGTTGAAAACATAACCTCATTATTGTGCTTTATTTTCTACATTACCAGCTCTATGCTTTCAGTCTGTGACTGTTGTTAATGGATTCTCCAGAGAAACACTCAGATAATTAAATGCTCGACAAACGTGAATTAAATCAGCCATTGGTTGGTTCGCCTGCAAAGTCATTGGAAACATTTTTCCAAATAAAAAATAAATAATGTGTAATGAAGCAAACACCGGCTACTTTTCGTAAAGCTTTTTCAAGTGATGAACACATTAGAGGCATTTTACCACAGAATAAAAATATGTTTACACATCCACACTGATTTAAGAATGAAAATAAGGATCTTATCTGGACTGTATTTACACAACTACAGGAATGTAAATATGGCCTCGGCGGTAGGGAAGTATCTGTATTTTTGGAACCTCTTGAGAATCAGATCTGGTTTCTAGTCTCGTTAGTGGTTAGTTGTCCTTCCTGCTCTTTAACCACATATTGAATGGGGACCAGCCAGAACCATACACATCCTGTCTGCAATACCTCAGCTTGTGACAGGGACAAATGTTATTATAGAGAAATAATGAATTATTGCTATGTTACATGTTCAAACAGTTTTGTGTCATCTGGACTCTTTTGCATCTGTAACAAACCTCTTTGTGAAAATAGACTTTACTTAGACAGAATTAATTTAAAAATTCAAATACATTTGTAAATCATTGTAAACAAGCTGGTTTAGTTCTCTACTGTAGAACATAAGTAAACTTCCTCCCCTCAGTAGTCAGCCTGCCGCTCTCTGTGGCTTTATTGTGAATCTCAACTACAGGACACTGTAAGCTGTACCAAAGACTTGTGGATGTGTTTGTAATTTCTCTTTCGTTTTAATCATTTTTTCTCTAAACTTGCCTTCCTCACGTGTGCTTATTTCACCCACAGGCTTTGAACAAGAAGGAGCACCGAGGCTGTGACAGCCCTGATGGTGAGGCCTCCTACGTCCTCACCCCCAATACTGAGGAGAAATACAAGAAAATCAATGAGGAATTTGACAACATGATGAAGAGTCATAAAATCGTAAGCTGCATTTTAAGTTTCTTGTTCTCAGTTTTCGTTTGCTCTCACTTTTCACAACTTAAAACTAACACAGATCACAGCCTTGTTTATTAATGCCTTAAGGACTTTAACCTGTTGGCTTTTCCCACCCACATTTTCTCTGCAGGGACTTGAACTTTCCAATCTTATATCTGTTTAACTTTCTTTTTTGCATCTTACCCACAGGCTCTGATACTTTATTTTAGATTTGATGGAAATTTTCTTCCATCTTTTTAGTTTAAACATTATGTGGGGCAAAAGGCCATATTCATATCATTCAGTCATTAATCATGTGTTTGACCCCTGTGTAACCACTCTGAGCAATGGTGATGTACCCACTGAAACAAACACATAAAGTAGGATGTAGAAAAAACAACAGATGAAAAACAATTCAGTCATTGATTAGCAACTCAAATATTACTCAACATGCCTCTCTCTGCCGCTGTCTCTCTAGTCCACAGGCCTTCCACAGCAGAACTTCATGCATTTGGCACCAGGCAGCATGCCGTACAGCCCCGGTGCAGGAGGAGGAGGAGGAGGAGGAGGAGGTGTGACTTCCCAGGCTTTAGCTGCAGCCACAGCAGCTCTGGCTGACAGCGGGATCCTCTCGTCACATCACACACACCTCCACAGAAACTCTCCACAAAGACCTCCCAGCACTGGAAATACAGGTGTGTGCATGTGGCTGTGCTTACTGTAATATTCCAGTGTAAGACATGTAACAACATATTTGCATTGCTCTTTGATGACTAAACTCATTGTTAAAATTCTGTCCTGATAGCTGCATTCAGAGTGCATTCGTGTTTTCCCTGTGAATGTTGTGAGTGACAACATGTTTGACAAAAGGGCAGTGTGTCTGTATTTACTTTATGGGAAAACATGTACCAGACAAAATAGATAATGATCTTGAAATAGGGACAGAGAAGGGCAAGCGCATGATTCAGTCGACCATTAAAGCCAAAATATTAGTTACATATCAGTGGTTACAGGACACAAACTGGTAGAAAAAGAAATCAAGTATAACTGATTTGTATGCAATGTGTGTGTGTGTGTGTGTGTGTGTGTGTGTGTGTGTGTGTGTGTGTGTGTGTTTGTGTGTGTGTGTGTGTGTGTGTGTTTATCTTCAGGTGGCCTGCAGGGCAGTTCTGATCTGGCTCTGCAGAATGGATCTGGACCAGCTGGTACGTAAAGTATCTTACAGGGGTCTTACAAACAAACTCCAACATATAAAGGACATGCACACTGACACACAGATCACTGTTTTGATCTGAACTGTGATGAGTAGGAGGAGGAGGAGGAGGAGAAGGAGTATTTTACCACCAGGTAGAGTCTGAGCTGACTTCAGTAATCACCAGTCACATCTGCTGGGTGGACTGGGTGGAGAATCAAGGCTTCTCAAAGGGGGAAAATCCTCTCCTCTCCTCTCCTCTCCTCTCTCCTCAGGCTGATGTAGACAGACAGGATGTAGGCTGACAGTCTCTTAAACATCCTGTCAGCCTACATACATCACACCATTTCACTACAAACTCCACAATGCCCCAATTCTCTGGACTACACACATGCTGTACCCAGCAACCTCCCTGATAGGGCTTTACCTGCTATAACCTTTCTCTCTTTCCCTCCCTGTTCTGTGGCTGCCAGTCTGCAGTTATGTTCAGTGTCCAACGACTCAGCCCAGTTACTGTGGGGAAATCTGCTTTTTCATAACCATGTACAACCAAGTACTGTGCCTGACTACAAGTACATAAATGTTTCACATTCTCCTTCTCATAGTATTATATTTCATATTGTACTGTTTTATTAAAATTGTGCTGTGAGCTTTAAAGACATCTAGTGGTGGGATTTTCTGAGATCACTGAGCAGAGAATATTGTACCAAAACATTTATAAGCCTTCAAATGTACACCCGCTACATATGAAGAACCAGAGCATTTATTACTATTAATAATGATAATAACATTTTACCTAAAGTAAATTATTTTTGTCAAATTTACTGCTGTAAGATTTTTGGTGAAAAATTATCCAATAGCAGTTTTGGCTTAAAGGCCAGTGAAGGCATCTGTGTTATTCCAAGAATCTGGATGCACCTCAGTGTCATTTCTGCTGGTTCATCAGCTGTTTTTGTCTTTGATGTTGGGTCTTCAGCCCTCACTGCTGTCTGTCCTCCTTACAGACTATCCTCGCTGTCATCTCCGTCCCAAAACAGCATGGCTCATATGAGGGCTGCTATTATGTAATGTCAAGAGCAAGAAAGATCAATTATTCATTGTTATCTTTTGTATAATATATAGCTGCGCTTTCTTCATTCTCCACTCAGAGCTTGGTGGTGGACAATTTTGTTTTTAAAACACTTTCTAAATCTTCAAATATTTCTAAACTTGGGCTAGACACACTGTACTTTTCACTAAAAGAAAAGATTACAAGAGGCTCTGCAAAAATATCCCTTGCACGGAGTTACAGACCAAACATTCACTGTGACTCCTCGACCATTTAGATAAGCTCATATTCTCTATCAATCAGAAGGTCAAGCTGTCAGTCAGTTCTTCTGGGATTTCCTTACCTTCAGTCCTAAAATGTCCATGTATTTTTCTATTTCTCTGTTCAGTAAATGGTTTTGTGGGTTCACCTGGTGGAAGCAGTTTGGGGAAGATCATACCACCCAAATCTCCTCCTCCTCCTCTTCCACCGTCTGGGAACAGCCTGATCCCGACCAGCCGCAAGACTGACCTCCGAGTGGTCATCCCCCAGTCTAAAGGAATGATGCAAACACTGGTAAGTGTGTGTTTGCTTTGTATATTTATTATCTCAAATGTTATTAACAAAGAGGAATATAATTTTTTAACCTGATACTTAAAGCTGCATGAATTGATTTGTTGCCTCCAATGAGCAGAAAATCGTCAAAACAAGATGTCATGTTCACAGCTTTTAAGCAGATTGGATTAAGTGTTGCACTTCTCAGCTGCTCATGGACAAACACAGGCCTAAAGGCTTTCAGTGCCTGAGTCTGAGTTTTATTAGGAACCAGAACAGTACACGATGTGCTCCAATCCTGAGGGATCTTGGACGCAGACAAGAACAAGGTAAATAGATGATGCACATGATCACAGAGTTAGTCAGCAACTTTTCAGAACAATTGGTTTGACACCATCTGGACCAGATGGTTGCTGGGGTTGCAAGTGAAATCATTGTTCTTTTAAAGAGGGAATGATTTCTCTGTTCTGGGTTGAAATACAATCTGCAAAGTACCATAATCAGTAATCTTCTTTATGATCCATAGTATTTCTCCAGTTTTCCAGTTTTCATCGTGAAGTAACATAGATTTGTTTATGTTCAATGTTTCTTAATGCACTGTGCATCCTTAAATAAGCTATTTGTAAGTTTTGCTATTGCTGCATGGCCAATGTTAGCATTAACAGCTGTTTACAATCTAGAAAAAACGTTGCAAGTTCACCATTAAACTTCATTCCTTTACTTGCCAAGAGCTGTCTCCTGTGGTAGAAAGCAACCCCCTAGTTTTGCTTCTATTTCTATCACTTCTATTTCTTTTCTTCTACTGAAGTTAGCATGCTAACCAGCTAGCTCCAGCCTGGTCAGATTGTCTCATCACTTTCCGATACCGAGTCACTGTAGCATCCAGTCTACCCTGAAGAAATAGCGCTGCTCAGTTGTGTATTAAAACCTCTTTGTCCTGTAAACACAATGATGGGTGAAGCTCTTGGCAAAACTGGATAGTAAACAGCTGTATATGTTAACACTGGCTATGTAGCGATAGAAATATTAACAAATAGCTCCTTTAAGGCTTAAAGTTTAGGCCTGCAGTCTCCTCTTTAATTGGTATTGGTCTATTGGTCTCACTATTGGTCAGAAACTATTATCTTCTCTCCATGTATGATTCTATCCCTACTAAATAGGCGTTCTTGCTTCATTCTTGTCTCTTGAATTTCAGTATTTATGTGTTGCCATTAGGTAAACACTTATATACTATACTACTACTATTACACAAACACAACTACTTACACAAAACAGTATTTCAAATCATAGAAATCTACATAATGACTGTCTGATGAAAGCACTAAATAGCAGCTTACTGTTCAAGAAAGTGGACTGATAACTCTCCTAAACATCAGGACAGAAGAGAACTTCTATTTCATAACCTTGGCTGTGGCATTTAAAAAAAAAATTGTGTGGATTGTGAAGCCAAAGCAGGAAAGTCAAGGTCGCCAATGATAATCACAAGAGTGTCTTGAGTATCATGTTTTAAATCATGGCGGACTTTAGGTACCATCTCTGTAGCCTGTACTTGTTAGTTGTGTGTAGTTTTTCTTTTACATACAGTACGTGGCGACACCACTGCTTGTTCACCCCTCCAGTGATCTTTGCCTCTATCATAAAGTACCTCATAAAGTAAAAGGATGCATTTCAGTGATACAGAAATTTCCTGTCCTCTACAGCAAAAATAGTTTTGGAAGAAAACAAGCTGCACACACAACAAGACTGATGATATTTCAAGTAGGCTGCCAGCTCATCCACTATGTTGGAAAGGGAGTGCATATTCTCTGTGGAAGATCAAGTCAGATTTAAACTCAAGACCAATGGTACACAAATGCAGAAATAATATGTTGTTACATTCTGCTTGCATCTCAAATTGAGGCACAAATAAGCCCTCAGAAAGAGAGTACACAGCACCAGAAGTTCTGGTGATTAAATGCATTAAAATCTAACAGAGTTCATGGTTTGGTGAACTGACTCTCTGCCTCTGAAAAGTGTAGAAGGAGTCTTCAGATCTTCCTGAACCTGTTTCTCTTCCTTCAGATTGTACATTCAGCAGCTGTGCTGGCTTATTGAAGTTATTGATTTGCCCTTAACTCCCTTACTGTTGCCCTTCCCTCCCACACTATGCTCAAACATGATGTAATGATTAACAAACAATGGAAATGGAGACTTTTTTTTCTTTTTTATGGTGACCAGGCGGCTCTGTTACTCTGCTGGCTGCGGGATCAAGGGGATTTTTACATCTAGCAGTGATCCATCAGTGAAAGGACAGGTGTTTGTGATTTCTATTGTTATGAATATTAATGTAAAAGTATGGCCATTTGGTAGATACAGTACTTGAATAGTATACATCCAAAACATCTTTACCCAGATGTAAACATAAATTATGTAACAGTTCTTTGTGATTTAGGAAGAGGATTTGTGACTTTTGTGAGAATTTACAGACGTGGACGACAAATTGGAAATTTTGATTAAGACTTATTTAGGGATAGTCATTATATATACATAAATTTCAGGTGGAGAAATTATGAATTAACAGCCTTTCATCTGGTAGTGGTAGTCAACACTGCATCTGTAGAAATTAATCCAGATTTAATTACATTTTTGTTGGTCATCATCGTTTCTCATAACTGTTCTTTCTGGGATGATTATTGGTGCAGTTAGCAGTTAGCATTGTCTTTTTCAGTTGCATGAGAGTGTGGTAAATGTCAGCGTTTATGGGTTGACACCAGCATGCAGTTGAAACATTCTGCTACTGTCTCCACCATGTTGAAACCAGCAGAGGCGGACGGTAGCTGCTCAGATCATGACATGTATTTGTTTCTGCTTTTCATTCGCTGCAGTAAAAGATGTTATGTTGTGGTCAGACAACTGCTCCTTGCTTTGATCAGTTTGAAACTGCCTTTCACTTCCTCCAAAATGCCAATATAGGCATGTAAGTGTGTACAATATGTTCTGTGCATTGTGTGTGTGTATTTTGCAAAAACTGGCAAGAACAACTCTTTTGGATTACAAAATATAATATAAATATCTTCATTGAGTTTCTTTAAAGCCATTATTATAAAGAGCTGAGCAGGTCAGACTTTGTTCACAATCTTCATTGTTGTCAGTGTTTAGCAGCAGTACCATGTTGGCTTGGACTTCAATTCTCTAGTGCATGGTGACAGGGTTACCACACAGAGAGCACAGGGACAGGGGAACACGGTGCAATGCTCCAGGGAATCACACGGGGTTTAATCTGATAATATGTTAGTTTTAGACATGTACAGGTTGGTTAACCCACCGTATGTGTGCATGCATGTGTGTGTTTAGCAGTGAATGACCTCACTCGGGGTGATGTCATCACTGACATTATCAGGCTGGAACGCCAACAGCCCACAGAGCAGCAACACAAATCTTATACTTATTGTTAGAGCGTGTCCAGTCAAAGAGCCACCAGAAAGAACGTCAAACCACCTCGGTTTCTGGCTCAATTTGAGACAGCGACTGATTAAGAATTCAGTGGTTTGTTGATAAAACGTTCAATCAAGAAAATTAACACTTAGGTTGTAGCAGTAGGCCTAATAATGATTCCTTAATGAGACTATTCCCAATTAAAATGCATAACACCTAATCTTGCAAAATAGCACAAATTTGAACCATATAATTTGGACAAAAGTATTTTAATTTCAAGAACTGTTTTAAATCTAGTGCTAGAGCTGACGATCAGGTATTTGTCTTATAAAAGGATTTATAGGGTTTTGGAAATTAACAGAAGTCACTGACAGGTTGGTGTATCCATGGCAGACTCATCTTTCATCAGCCTTGTGCTCTGTCCAGAGTTTTCCTGAGCAAGATGCTGAACCTCACTAAGTTCATGCCCACTCTCTGGAAGATGGAGGCATTCTGGGAAATGTAGGAAAGACTATTTGAAGTTTAATTTTTTTCCTTGTAAGGAAAACATACGCCACTTGCTGTAAGAAGTCTCTGTGAGAAAATGAATATATACTGACATCAAGTGGTTGAAGCGGGGTATCACTATCCAACTTCAGCTTTAGGTAATGCACTGCACAGTATATCAGAAAAGCAATACACAGAGACATTATAGGAGTCATTGAAGTTAAATGAATAATCATAGAGGATAATTCTGTTTTTATTTTCTGTTTCCAGAGCAACCAGAGACTGAGCAGCAGTCAGTCCAGCCAGTCTCTGTCCACCCCAGTGGTCTCCATCACCACACCCAGTCTGCCTCACCAAAGTCTGGTCTACTCCGGCATCAGCTCTGCTTACAACAATGGTGCCTGACCATTATTTCTCTTTGTACTGTGTTGCTGTCATTCGTGCAGCCCTTGAGGACCCAGAGATGACACAATATGGTTAAAAAAGCTGTGATTCTTTATTTTTTCTTACTTCATTTGATGCAAAAGTGTGTACATCATTAATTCATCATTGATTTACTTGTATTACTACATAAGAAAAGGCAGCTGCTTTGGACATTTTTTAGGAACATTGTATCTGTATTTTATAATTAGTATAAAAAATATATAGATACACATTTTTAAAAAGATAAAAAGTATCTTTAAAGTATCTTTAAATACAACAAACTTCTCAAACTTCTCTGCGCATGTGAGCCATCATGTTACACTTTCCACCAAAAGTTGGTGAAAGTGGAATAGTTTGGTGGCACAGCAGCTTCTTATTATAGGAATGTGAGCAAAGTTCCCTGTTAGCTTGTTAGACTGATACTTAAGTTGAACGTTTTTGTGTGCCACAGTGTTACATGTCACCCCTCTCTCTCTCTCTCTATCAGATTACTCCCTGAACAGTGCAGAGCTGTCGGGCTTCAGCTCCCCTGCAGGCCCGTCTCTGGGCTCCATGGCAGCATGGCAGCAACACCAGCTGGGCCCACTGGGGTAGGTACCTGACACAGTTGACTTTTTACTGCCTCACTGTTTGTTGACATCATTTCATTGGTTGACTTGGTTTATTTACACTAAGTTAAAAATCAACTGACATACAGAACAAGTAGACAGAAACCTCAGGGAGTTTTTCTGGATCTGTTAGGAATCTGTTTTCTGACAGGTGACTTACTGAGGAGAAAGGCTAATGATTTAAGTAATAAACTGAACATATTGAAGGACTAATATCTGATTGACTACTGATGGAAACTTCAATCTGACAAGTTCAGTGGTGTCGGAAGTACTCAGAACCTTTGCTTAAATTAAAGTAGCAATATGACACTGTAGAAATAAGAGGCCTTTAAAAGTCAAAGTGACTATAACTTTTGCTGAGCAGCCACTGTGGCCACAACTGACAGTTATGGGACAATGGTAAATGCAAAAACATAGTGAAACAGTAGAACAAATAGAGTTGTAAAATCAGCAATTTTTGTTAAACCCATCTCATAGCAACTGTGAGTTCAGCTTTTCATTTGTAAGAGGACGATTGTGTTGTCTCTACTTTATGCCACTTTAATCTCCTGCATTAGAAATGTTACTTAAAATAAAAGTGTGTAGTTTTAGCAAAAAGCACTTAAAAGTATAGAAGGTAAATGTGTAAATAGTGTTTTACTATTATAAATGACATAATTTGATTATTTTGTTGATGCATCAATGTGCAAGTAACATTTTAATGTTGTAACTGGTCGAAATGGAGCTAATTCATAACTGATTTATGCACTGCACTGTTTAATCTATTAAAAGTCATGATATTTTATAAGGTCATTGTATGCTTTATATGTATATGATGTAATACTCATGTAAAATAAAAGTATCTCAAATTTGTATTAGAATACAGTATTTGAGTAAATGTACTTCCACAGAGTAAGTTTCAGTAAAAGTCAACCAGTTGTCTTCTCTGTCTTCAGACCTGTTAGTTTCCCCACTAGGTGGTGTCTTCACCCCACAGTCACAGCCTTAAACAATCCTCTTCCTCTTTCCTCTGTCCGTAGGCCAGGAAGCTCCAATCTCTCCATCAACACCAACCACAACATCAACATCAAAGCCGAGCCAATCTCCCCACCCCGTGACCACCTCAGCCAGTCCGGGTACATGACCCAGACTCACGCCCTTCCTCATCTTCACTCCTCCAACTCCTCATCCACCCGAGCAGAGATGGGGAGGTCTCCTGCAGACAGTGTCAGCTCCTCCTGCAGCTCCCACGAGGGCGGCAGTGACCGGGAGGAGCAGCAGCGGCTGGACTTCCACTCGCTCCCCATGATTCGGTCAGAGGGCAGGGAGAGTCCAACGGTCAAACGAATGCGAATGGACAGCTGGGTGACATAGACCCTGCAGTCACATGACAACACAACACCAGGGCAAACACAGGAAGGACACTGTTATGCAAATGAAATGTGGATTTTATAGATGTGTTCTGTTATTTTTCATTAAGTTATCTCTGTTTTTTGTTTTGTTTTTTTTTCTTGTTGGTCAGATTTTTGAGAAGAATTAAACAACATCCATCTGGAAATTGTGAATCTGTCAGAAATATCTCATCAACTTTCAGAAATCTTCAGTGGTACTTACATAAACATAAACATTAGATGCAGTGCTTTTGAAATATATATTATTTTAAGCATCACAGACTGAAAACGTGGGTCCAATTGCAGTACAGTCTGTCATTTTCTTATCCAGTGCGACACGGTACTGTACACAGAAGAATGGAAAAAAGTGAGTTCAGCGTTGTTTATGATCTGGGTGGTAAAACAGGGAAGTGCTTATATGGATGTCTCCCACTGGGTGTCACCCAATTCATTTCTGATCTTCTCAGGGTTTGAAACATTGAGTCCAGCATGAAGGCAATACTCCCTCCACACCATCAACCCCGTAAATCCTCTTTACAAAAACAGTTATTTATATCAGCCAAAGCAGTATGCTGTTTTTTATGTTGTTTGTGAGTGTTTTTATATTGTGCACAGAATAAGACAATATTTCATTCAGATTTAAAACTGAAAGCCATGAACACTTGTTCTGTATGTACTATCTTTATTGATTTGTATATAGTGTCTTTAATATATATCACTTTTTGGTGTAATTATATACTGTATTGTTATTGTTATTCGGACTGTTGTATCTGTCTGGGTGAAAAACACCTCCACCAGATTTTACAAAAGTATATTTTAGTGGATGATTGCCATATTTGCAAGGCATTGTCTTTTCTTCTCTCATCAAGTGTCTGTTGGATAAATCTGTTTTGTGAAGTTTGCCATGCTGCACTCTCTTGAAAGCACATCTTCAAAATATAGTGAAAGGTAAATGCACTCTAGAAAATTAGTTAAAGAAATCAAGCTCCTCAGAAACTTATTTTACAATAGAGGCCCACTGTAAACCTAGACCAGGATGATGAAGAAACAAGGAAAAAGTCAGACCGTCATACATGTGCCTGATGGCCTCAGCAGGGCTAAAACTGATAAGGCCAGAGTACATCAGATCATATGAGATGAGATTTATTCTGTATAATTAATTGCAGAAAGAAACGTATGTGTCACATTAACCACAGAAAAATAAGTTGTTGAAGTGACCATCACTCGTGTGCATGAGGTGACTTCCCCTCATGTGTATTCAAAGGCGCAATGTCGAAATTAAACTTAAAGAATCAGATAATGAAATTTGAGCAGAAATTCATGCTGGACTAATAATGACAAGGTTATGATGTAATTCTTCTTCTATTAAATGCATTTTTTTTTTATAAAACAAAGGTTAATGTACATATAAGTCTTAACTAAGCACAGATAAAGGTGGTTAACTGAAATATCTAAATGCACACAACATTGGTATGACAATTAATTGAATAAATTTTAGAGTTCTGAGGGACAGATTTAATAAATTAGAGTACTGACAAACGTTTTAGGGACGTAAGATGTTTAAATTCTTACTCATCTTGCAATATCAATTGTATACAGTATATTTTGAAGATGGGTATATACTGAAGATTTGTGTGACTGAGTAGCAAATGATTACTGAAAAAATGGAACACAAGGGTAAGTACAAAGTAGCACATGTGGTGAAGGGTGCAAAAGCTGCAAGAGTAACCACAGTGGTTCCACTGAACAATAGTGTGATGGATGGGAAGCAAATCAATCATGAGAGAGAGTAGAAAGTTTTGTAACACATACCTGGATTACCTTTTCACAGGAGGAAGAAAACATATTTTGGGTTAGTTGTCATAAACAATAACAATAGGAGAGCATGATCAGATTACTCCAAAAGCATTGCTGCATTTTGATAATACAGGCCTTTAAAGAGGGGCATCTGATATCTGCATGTGCCAGATGCAGAGGTGACTTTAAATGGAAAATGTGGTTACAGAGAAAATCACAACTGTAAAGGAAGTGGTGGTGATTGGGTCATGAGAATGCATGAATTAGACCAGAAAAGATGAAAGAAAAGAAAAGAGATAATGCAGAAGAAAACTCTCAGTTTGACTGAACACATTGAAGGTCATTGACAAAGATCATCGGTATCTGCTGGATTGGAATCACACAGACAGGAACTATAGTGGTTCAATGAGGATGTACTGTGTAAGTCAGATATTGACGGCATACAGCAGACTTGGCTTATACCATGTGTGCGTTAGGTGGTGGAGAACTGGAACAAGAACAGAATTACTGAAGTTGGGGATTCAGAACAGAAGCTGTTTGATGCAAAAGCTCTGGTTGGGGGCATACGCACTGACTTTAACTGCCGTGTAAATGCTGATCTATTGTGTGAAAAGTTGACAATGTGTAGAGGTTACGTGTGAGCATAGGAGAAAAAAGGTCATGTTAATTACTCTTTTTAAAGCAGCACAATTGATAAAATAAAAAGTCCTATATTGTTTACCAGGTTGTGTCAGCTCTAAATTTGGAATTTTGATTGGTGATTTAAACAGATACCTTAATGGTAAAATCATTATTATTAGGATTCATTTGTTGATTAACTACATTAGTCTTATTTAGTCAAATTAACAGAAGACCAGATGGCCTCAATATGATAAAACATATATGAAATGTCAGTATAATTAAGATGTAATAAATAGAACACATTAACTTTATGAAAAGAATGTGTGCTTGTAGGAAGGAGAGGAGCAACAGAATTATACTTGTTCAGATGGAGAGAAAAGCACATAGACCCAGACCTCACTCACTCAGTACACTGAGGTGGAGAACTGGAGGGTGGATGGATTAAATTTACCAAGGTTAATGGGAATGATGAGAGCAAACATCTGTTTGAGAAAAGGATTAGGTTTATGGGAGCCACAAAAGACTGTTCTAGAAATAGGTCTAACAAACAAAAAGAAGCTGTAGCTTTATGGTAAACATATCAGTAGGATTAATAAACTTGCGACTCTGGTTTACACGGACCTATTTAGAATTGATTTGCATAATTAGATAACCAGATAGCCAGTTTTTCCCACCTACATCAAAGGGAAGCAGGTGGGAAAACAAGAATCTGAATTTGTTTTTTAGGCACTTTGAAGAAGTGAAAAGAACAAAATGACTCAAAACATAACACTGGAGTTTCATTTGCTGTGCCATTTATGGAAATGATGCCCCCCAGCCAACACACTGCAATGTTATTCTCCCATCCCAGTCATGATGACTGGGATGGGAGAATAACATTGCAGTGACTGCTTACCGGACATATCATTTTATATTTTAAAATAATTAAGTTAACCAGAGTTAAACTTATATTTAACATATTCTACAGTTGGTAGAGTTGAACAAACTGGGATTATATAAACAGTGGATTAACATAACATTATGATAATTGTGTTTGTTAAACGACTGACTTCTGAAAGGGGTGTTAAGGATACATCACTACATCACATCATAAAAGCGTCGACATCTTTAAACATACACGTTATACTCACAGATATTTAGACGCCCTTTAGGCATGTTCCTAAATGCTAATATGCCCATCTAATGCCCACATTTTCTTGGAGTCTTTTTTACTGCATACGACCGGCGGAAAAGCTTTTATTTTGAAAATCCTAGTACAGTAGAGCCGTTGTTGTGTGTAGCTTGACACTGGATGCTAAGCGGAGAGGAGGAAGCCGGTCAGAGCCACACAGTACGGTCGATGTTTTTGAGGTGTAACTGTTGTCTTTTCTGGCCACAATGTGAGGTTAATGAGAATCACTCGTCGGAGGGTCTTAGCAGCGGAAAAAAAGGTAAAGGGTCACTCATTATTACTTTTTCTTGGCGGGAATCAGAAAGCTACCAAGTTTAGTTACCTGTGGGGGTCTTTGAGTTGGGGCGGGTCAGGTGAGCCTCCTTCCCGGAAACATTTCCCAGGGCGGACAGGTGAGGAATCTCAACGGCTTCATTTTGAACTCTAATGTCTTGTCACCTTGTGAGGTTGTTCTGTTTTTTTGCTGCTGCCCATGGAGGGAGGGAGGCTGAGCTCGAAGTAAGACTCTGTTTAAATATGTGGCAATTACATACTTTTTTTTTTACCACTAATTTACAATCTTATATCTTGTACAACAAACTAAGGAAGTTTCCTTGTCGGTAAGTCTCAATTCAGTATTGATATCAAACAAACAAAACTTGTTTAAATGAAAATGCTTTGGAGTTATTGCCACACACAAAGTCTTCTAGCAGTACAGTGCTGGACGTAACCAGAAGTTCCTCCGTGAAGTTTAGTGTCATTTTTAAACGGATGCTTGTTGGTCAATAACAAACATCCGTTTACATCCGTATACATTCCGAATAAAAGAGCACGTGTAGGTACAGGTGTATGTATGTACATACACAAAAATATACAATATTACAGTTAGTGGAGCTCCATCCACAGCATTACTACATCTGTTTCATGCATACAGTACATGAAGAACTGCTATTATTGCTAAGTTAAAATATTATCCCATTTATAATGACAGACTGAAAATGGTTTTCCCCTTAGAAATTCCAATGTTTACTAAACCCATATGTGCTTAAGGTCATGTTTTATATTGACACTGTATACAAAAGCTTGTAAACATAAAACTGACAAAACCAGAAGCTCTAAATCCACCAGAACTGCAGGTTTTTTATTCATGCATGAGTTTTATATATGTATATATATTTGTTGTTTGCGTTGTCTCCAGTGAGCTGTAGTCTTGCAGCATATCAAAGAGTAGGGACCGCAATGTGAAATAGTTTCAGGAAATAGCTTCTTGTCTTGTTCTGAAAAGACAGCCCACAGTCTTGCTCAACACAGCCCACAGAAAATAAAAAACAAAACATAAGAGGCCTCAAAAAGCCTTTATCACTGCAACCCTCAACTTCTTATAAAACACATCCATTAAAATGAGAACATAATATATACAGTAGGTATTTATATGAATCAATAAATCATTGCTCACTCATTATCTCTAAATTTTGGAGGATCCAGTCAGCAAAAGTGCTTTCATGTTTAACAACGGATTAACCCAATATCATTTTTAAAACGCTTTCATCCGTTATTTGCATTCTATCAGGCATTTTGTAAAATCAGTGTCTTTGTTTTTTTAAAATGGAGATGACCTCATTTAGGAGTGAGAGTAGAAATGCAGTATGTGCAGATGTGCAAAGTTTTCTTACAGTCACTGGTACACGAGTCGTCCCGCTCCAGCCCCTGTTATAACAAGGACAGAGGCTCAGATTAAGTTTAAACACCTTCTAGTTACTTATCATGACTAAAAACCTGTTAACTCTACACTTCATACTTATGCACCTCAGATCACCTCGTCCTTATCACTAACACAACTTGGCTTCATTCATGTTTCCGAAGGTTCTTCTTATGTAAATTTCATGCAAAGTAAAAAAAAAAAAAAAACCCTGCATGAAGAGAGCATTCACTGGCCAGTTATAAAACACACGTATTTACATTAACTGTACACATGTTGTTTTGTTCTCGTCTATCCTTCATGCTCATATAATTTTCTCTAACATACTATCAGTCCGTCTTTATGATCATCAAATGCTGAGTCATGTTTGTGTAACACTGACCTTTGACATGTGCACTATTGGCTAATTGTTTATCGTGATATAGGAGACAAATCATGTTTTTTTTTTCTTTTTACCATCACTGAAGTTGCTTAAAAGGAGATAAAGGACTAAATATGTGATGCAAGTGAGGTTGGTCAGATGGTTTCTGGACCAAGGTTGTCTGCAGGAAGGATAGATTGCGTCAGCATCTCCTTGAACTGGGCTGGTTTGTGCTACAGCCTTAACAGCTTCACTGCATTGCCTGGCCTTTCAACAACAAGGCAAAACAAAGAATGATATGGATAATAACTGTTTTAGAGCCAGCGTAGGTGATGAAAATCTTAAGCTGTAAACACGACTCTCCCATATCATCACCTTTTAAATTCGATAAGGCAAACCTGTAGCATTTATTTACACACCTAACAGACGCAGAGCAACATTAGCATTCATTTGTATTCATTTTTGTATTTCTGCCAATCTAACGTCTGTAAGCCGAAAATTCACTCCTTTTAGTTTTGGCCTCCACCAAAAGGGAAATATCTTCTACTTTTTATCTGCTAAATGCTCCACTATGTTCACAAGCTAGTTGCTAACTTTGTGTGTCTGCTGTTTGGTGCTGGAAAGGTAGTGTACAGTCGGTTTTTAGAGCTTCTTCTCTGACAGCTGCTGCTGAAAATGATGCTGTTAAAACTGAATCAAAACAATAAAGTTCCATGCATTAAAAAACACAACAATGAGCTAAAAAACACAGAGACACTCTATAGTGCCGAGTGGAATTACAAATTTGGGTGATAATTTTTTGGGTTTTACACAAAGTGACCACTTCCACTTTACACATAGCCATTTAATCCATTATTAATATAAAAACATTGATTAGCACATCTTAGAACAGTTACATGTAGTTTTCGACATTTCCTACAAATAAAATCTAATATAATCACATCATGATTTTTTTTTTTCACATAGTGGCTTTTAATTTTATTTCTGAACATTTTTTAACCATGTCAACACATTGTGTCTGTAGTAGACTAGTAGATCATGACCAAATTGTATACTTAAGATAAAATATTACATTAACATCATCATCACTTGTCGGTTAAATACCTGACAGATCTGCAGTAAGGCCGCTGTATGGCCTATTAGTGGCCATCATCCTTTTCCTCTGCCTGCTGCTCTCTCTCTCTGTCACTGTTTCAGTGATCCACCATCTAATCCCTATATTTGGGTCAGGCCAGAAAATTCTGAATCTAGGCTACAGATATCAGAGTCATTAGTTTACCCGTTTTTACCAAACTAGATGTAGAAATAAATGGTTGTAAACTGACTTATTCCTGGGAAAACTACTTCAGCTCACCTCTGACTACACTAGATACTAGTATCTCTTTTGATAGAAATATGATTTCAGCTGTTGCTGTTTATATGTCAGCGTCTGAGATTAGGTTTTAAATGCTTGTGCTCTAATTTTCAAACACTACACTCAGCTTCACTCCTTAACCTCTGCCATCATCTTTGCCAGCTTTGTAAACACTGATTCCTATCGTGTTCCTTCATCTGTTACCACCCCGCCTTTTCCTCCACTTCCCCTTACCAGCTGATAACATGGCAGGTCACTGGCCGCAGTAAACAACAATAGTATGAGGTATTGAAGTAAGAAGTATGAAGCTGTTAAGAGGCTTATGGGGTTGTTGCTTTACAGAATCAGGTTTTGTCAGAAGCAGCAGCAGCTCTGGGCAGGTGCTGCTGTCTAACAGAGATCATTCAAAGAGATGACAGCTTGAGGTATAAATGAGGCGTTCATTTCATTTGAATTACAGATCTTGTTTCACCTAATGAGAGCAACTTTGCATTGAGTAAAGTGAGAATGAATGATACATGACTCAGCCAAATACACATACACACACCCACACACCCACAAACACATACATTCACACACATTAACAAGGGCTTTAAAACCACTAGCGGCTGCACTCCAAAAATTAGATCATATTAGAGATATGCAGGCTTCACCATACTGTACAACTTTTGGACCTTACTGTTAATACGTACCTATTCTCACGGTCTTCTTCAAAGACCCTCTTCAGAAGACCAGTGGATATAGTTAAAAGCCCCAAAAAAGTGAAATGAGAAAAAATACATTTAGCAGTGTCATTAGATCACACCATTTCATAATTGTCTGACAGTACATGTTTTACTTAACTGATGGGAGTTGCATCTACAGCTCAACACATGCAAATGTTGTGGTGGAGTCATTGTTTGCTGTTGTGAAAATGTTCTGTCTTTCAACACTGCATAGGAGTCTGTGTGTAAAAATTTTAATTATCCTAATTATTATGAATTAGGTTAAATTACATTACTACAGTTATTACTCCCAGTTTGTCCAGTGTCACTGTAGGTTGTTACATGTGCTTTATATGTGATAAAAACTCAGTTGTGCATAAAACACAGTTGGCACATTACATTTGACAAAGATTGATTTATTATTTTACAAAGATCTTGGTCAATATGAGTTAATCATCCTCCAGACGAGTGTTTACATTACTGTTACCCCCTTTCCTTCTTTTGTCATTTGTTTCCATTTCAACAGTTGATAATATGATGTCTACTGTAAATATGCAGCAGTTTCTGACATTACAGTGGACACCACATTTTTAGACATGTATTTTTATCACATATATTTGAAGCATTTGCTATTGAAACATGAACAAAGAACAGGTGGTGATGGCTTAAACATATGTTCTATAAACACACTGTAATAAACTGATTGAATATTAGTGAGCTGATTGTGGTCACACATTGAGCGATGAGCATATGTCTTAGAATAACTTAAAAGAGTATTTGTAGATTTGCTCTATTGAATTGGAAGATTGATATCACTCTCATGACACTTTGCTAAATAATGAAGCTGCACTGGCCTAAGAAAACAAGAGCTAACTAGTTAATGTGGGAGCTACAGAGGTGCTGATGCGTTACCTTTGGACAGAGCCTGGCTAGCTGTTTACTAGGGCTGAACAATTAATTGAAATAGTATCAAAATTGCAATATGGCCAAGTGCAATATCCATATTGCAGGACTCGCAATTTTTTTGATAAGGGAAAATGTGTCACAACATACCATTAATGAAGCATTGTGGTGCTACAGAGTTGCCCCGGGTTATAAATCATATTCTTCAGATCTAAATGTACCTGTTTGGTACAAGCCCCAACAAACATCACATCATTATCATTTTTATATTTTTTTCAGTGAAAATTAAATGTAAAAATTACCATTCCAGCTGAAATTGTGACTCACAATAATAGCAATATGATTTCTTTGCATATCATTCAGCCCTCCTGTTTCCCCTAGTTTCCTATAGCATAACATTTAACAGATGCATGAGAAGACCTCGTCTAACTTTTGGCATGAAAGCAAATACTAAGACAATTTTGATGCACATTAATATAGTTATCCTTTAATAGCTGTAATTATTTCAGGGCTAATGACGATCAAATTGAGCTTCATTACATTTTCATAAGAATTCATGTTGGTTTCTTGTGTTTGACAGAAGAATTTAATCTGACTGACAATTTCCCAGCCAGTTGTGAAGATGTGAGACAGACTGATGGACCGTAGCTTAATGTCAGTGTTAGCTATAATTTTATGACAGTAACTGACCCCTCTGTCTCTGTTCTTTACTATAGCTCTCAGTGATGTCCAGATCTTAGACACAGACTGAAACTCCCTTCCATCATGGACTCCAAGAAGCCGGGCGTGCTGCGCCATCTCCGCCAGAAAATGCTGCCACACCTCCGGCGAGGCAAGACAAGCTCAAGCAAGCCAGTTTCCCAGCTTGAACACATGATGGACAATCGGATGAGCTCCTCTGTTCCTGACATAAGAGACATGAGGCAGGACTACTCCCACATCTCCCCCAGCACGCATCTCCAACAATATAACACTCCCTGTTACAGCAACCCCTGCACACCGCTTGTCAAGCCGTCTAGAGGCAAGGAAGGAGGTGGGAGTGGCCTGACTGTGGGAGTGGTTGATGGAGGAGCTGGGAGGAGTGAACACAGACTGAGCGTGCCTACAGACTGCACAGACTGGGCTTCCTCCCAGGAATCATTCAGCAGTCTGTGTGAGGTGGAGAAGAGCTCTCCGGAGACAAACTACAGACCTGCCGGGGGCATGGAGCCTGAGGAGCTGGCCCTGCCAGAGATGATGACTGTCTACAGCCCAGACCCTCCAACTGTGGAGATCTCACAGGACAGCTCACAGGTACAGAAACTTCATGTGAAAAGTTGCATCAGTATTAAAAAAAAATCAAACAGACAAGTTCTTAAAACATAAACCATAGCCTTCAGATGGCCTAATAAAGATTTCAGTTTCCTGGGCGGTAGCACTCAGAGAAAGACTACATCCATTTTTTAATTAATGCGTTTTGTAGAAACATTGATAGCAAGTATGGCAGTAGTATAAGCTTGTATAGTAGTGTATGTTTTTCTTTGAGGCACAGGTAAGAATATAAGGTACATCTGATGAAGTGGCTGGTTTATCGTACATTGGTGGGTGTGAGGTGTCAGGTGTGTTTGCACAGGACACACAAAGTTTAACTTGGAGGAGCTGGATAGAATTGAAATTGGAGGTCCTTCCAAAATCAATAGTCTCCAGCAGCACTGGGCAAACTGGCAGTGTGTGTTTAATACTGCCACGGCATGAGATTCAGTGACTCACATCATGACACTTTTGACAGTGACAAGGATGTGGAGTTGAGCATGGCTGCAAAACTGACAACACAACATACTGTATATAAAATATATCATGCTGTTTTAGGGCCATTGTAGGTTGAAAAAAGAAAAAAAAATAAGGAAAAAAAGTCAGAAAAAATAATGTAATGAGGTTGATCCAACCTTGTAAAGTGAAGTGTTGTGGTTCTTTGACCAAAAAAAGGCCACAATTCTTTTCTTGTAAATTTTTAACTTAACTCTCTTGTTTTTCTCATTTAACTATCTCAGAGAATAAGGTTTTTTTTCTCATAAATGTACAGCTTTAATCTTGAAAATTCTGAGTTTTTTCTTGGAATATTAATCCCTCCCCTCAGAATGTCCTGTCTCCCGTCTTCATGTCACCTTTTGGTATCACCTCAGCTCGCTTGGAACCTCGGTGGGGGTGATACAAAAAATAATACCAGGTCCCAGGCACTATCCACATCTCGTGCCTGATGGAAAACGAAAAAAGGCGAGTACCGTCGAGTCAAGTTGATCTGGTACCATGCAGTGGAAAAGGCCTATGTGTTTACCTAAAGCAGACACAATCCTGTTTGGTGCCCAGACTGAATGTATGACTTATCAAAGCTCATAATTCAGTAAATACCTTGTTCAATGGATTATACCATGAACAATGGAAAAGATTTGTTCTGAATCATCTCCACCTAGTATATTACATTCCATCCAGTTGCTGCCGAAGCTAATTCTTTTCTGTAAATGAAAACTGCTGGGGCTGAGCTGTCATGTGTCTTCACTGTTAGGTTCTGTGTGGCAGAGCTTCCCTTCCTTTGATGAATAAGATTCCAGAGTTGAAAGTGTAAGAGTTAAACTCTTTTCCCTTAACAGTGCATTTAGAGGGGGTGTGGCCAGAATGCAGTCAGACAGGTGAAATACATGCCAGTCACATAGGCTGTGCTCAGATGTGGTCTAATGACTTAACACCACGCCCTTGATGTTGTAACTCTGATGACATGGTATTTGTTACATTAAAATCGTCCCCACTTTTGAAACCTTTTTCACTGAATCAGTCAGTCAATCACTTATCCATTGAAATAGTTCTACATCCGCTAGATGGATGGGTTTCAGGGAAACATCTCAACAACTATTGTATGGACTGCCCTGACATTTGTACAGATATTCCTGTCTCCCTCAAAATGAATTGTAATCACTTTGGCAATCCCTTAATTTTTCATCATCAGTTCAAAATTAAATGTTTTTCAATACTTTGGGAACTAACCTTTTAACCCAAGTTAACATGAACATGAACGGGTTTCAGAATGTGAGCTAGTGCAAGGCCCACGCAAATCTTAACATTGTGACAGCATCCCATTCAAAGTCAATGGGTACAATTTTTTTAGGCCAGAAAACAAGGACAAGGGAATCTGGCATAAACCATTACCTATGAATGGGTGAAGTACACCATGGCGACCTCTCAGGAGGAGCTGTGTTTTTACAAAAGGATATCATTTACATATTCAGGTTAATCTGGCATCGGTGCCAATAATTTAGCAACGGTGGGAAACACTGGAATAGGCGGACAGCATTTTATTTTTGCCCTGGGGCCACAGAGCAGGTAAATCTGGCCATGACTCTTGAAACCTGTGCACTTGAAAGCTGTTTAAATGACATCAGCCCTGAGGGACAGTCCATGAATTTCAAAAACAAAACAGGAAAATCACCATTCTTGTCTTCATTCCTAAAACTCTGATTTTCCTAAAATACTGATTTTCTTCAATGGTTGAGGATGTCTTTGCATCCTTTAATTAAGTACAAGTACTAATACTACACTGTAAAAATAATCTATTACAAGTATTATAATGATAAAAATCTAAGAGCTAAAATAGAAGGAGTTTGGTGAGGTGAGGAACAATGGGAAGGGCTGTGGGTGGCACCAAGTCACAAAACAAACAAAACAAAATTTACATCCTACCTAATTCATCAAATCCCCACTGATTCACCACAGCAGCTGAAACAAAAAAGGTAACACACTGCCTGGCTGCACTCATCTTACCTGTCAGAATAAAAGCACACTTGGGCTCTCACCCATGACTTTTTTTTTTTAACTGATTTTTTGGCAGAGAGAGACAGGAAAGTCAGGGAGAGAGAGGGAATGACGTGACTCAAAGGGCTGCGGGTTGGACCCGAACCCTTGGCCGCTGCGCCTAGGACTAAACCCGTGTGGCACGCACTCTACCAGGTGAGCCACCGAGGCGCCCCAAAAGAAGAAGCAGCAGCTCATGGATATCAAAACAAGCTCCTGTGTGGAGACGTGGAGACTTCCAGAAGGACAATCAGTTCCAAGCATCATATTTGGTTTCCTCCAGCCATTACGTTTAGACTTGAGTTCAAACAGTTCAATCTTGGTTTCATCAGATCAGAGAATCTTGTTCCTCGCAGTCTGAGACTCCTGTAGGTGCTTTTTTGCAAACATTCACTGAGGAGAGGCCACTGCCAATAAACCCAGATCAGTGGAGTGCTGCAGTGATGGTTGTCCTTCTGGAAGCTTGTCCTATCTTGACACATGATGTCTGGAGCTCAGCCAGAGTGACCATCGGGTTCTTGGTCACCTCTCTTACCAAAGCCCTTCACCCTTGATTACTCAGTTTGGCTGCACGGCCAGTTCTACGTCAAGTCCTGGTTGAATTATGGAGGCCACTGTGCTCTTGGGAACCTTCAGCGCAGCAGAAATGTTTTTGTAGCGCTTCCCCAGATCTGTGCCTCGACTCAATCCTGTATCTGAGCTCTGCAGCAGTTCCTTCCATCTCATGTTTTCATTTTTGCTCTGATATGCACTGTCAGCTGTGAGACAGGTGATTGTCTTTCCAAATTATGTCCAGTCAACTGAATTTACCACAGGTAGACTCCAACCAAGGTGTAGATAGATATCAGAGATGATCAAGAGAAACAGGAGGAACATGAGCTAAATTTCAAGTGTCATAGCAAACGGTCGGGATACATATTTCAATGTGATATTCCAGTTTTTCTAAAATCTGTTTTTTGTTTTTTTTTTTTATAGGGGTATTGAGTGTAGATTAATGGGGTGGAAATTAGATATTTTTATTTTAGCATAAGACTGCAATATAACTAAATGTGAAAAAATTGAAGGTTGCTGAACACTTCCTGTATACACTGTATTACTCAGTACTCATGGGCTTCGTTTTGATATAAACTACACACCTGGAAAGGTTCATGACTGTATCTTGCACAGTTGTGACACTATCACAGAGACGAAATCTGTACACAGACAGACAGACAGACAGAAATATAAACACCTGCCAGTGTCCTCAAAACCACCTCTGGCAGTTCCTGCTACAGTAGGTGTCATGATCACGTGGCAGCTGTTAATAATGCACTTTAGCTACTTTTACATTCCACGACTGTTTTTCTCTAAATAGTATGATGTCCTGGATAATGCTGGAAATGTCGATGAAGATAAATAACAGAATAATACTGGACCTTTTTTTAAATTATGGATCAAAAACAACAACAATTTGCCTAAGCAAAAAGCTCAGTCCCTCCTGGTTTAAAGTCAAGGGTCAAAATTATAGTTAGTCTAAAGTGAACAACAGGGCAGAAAGGGAGCAGAAAAGCAAATTACCTTTTTTCATTACTATGTTCTTTGGTTTAACGCTGTTCAGTCCCCAGGATACAGGAATTTTTAATAAATGCTCAGAGGATTTGTCCCAGTGGCTGTAATGCCACAGAGAGATCAGCTCTTGAACCTCTAGCAGTCAGCAGACTGAAATGTTCCTCTTTCAACATGTGGGAGTTTTTTATATGATATATGATTGATTTTTGACATGTATTTATCTTTGTCTCCACAGTATGAAAATCATGATTTCAACGGTCATGTGTTAAAGGACGAGGACTCCCACAATGTAAGTGCTGTTGTCCAGTATTTGTAAGATGATTTTGTGAACTGATATAATTTTAATCATTTTTATGGTTTCTACTGAGGATTTGTCTCAGATAACAGCGTTCTGAAAAGGTGAGTGTAGGTTAATGTAGCTGTTTAATTCCTGAGCTACATGTCAGTGGTTAAAAGGACTCTGCAGTAGACTGTCTCTGACAAGAGCCTGTGATAGTGTTTTTTGTTATGTATCATGCAGACAGCAGGACTGTGCTTTGGTTGACACACACTCATGCCAAAGTTTAATTCCAGATTATCTTGCTGTGTTCAGGACACGATGGGACAGTAGGCTGTGTGTGGTTCAGTATTCAGTGTGTGTCACTGTGGCTTTTGTGGCCGGTTAGGGTTGGGATGCTGAGCTGGGTGACTCCAGGCAACCGGGTTTTATTCACTGAAAGATGCTCGGTTTGGTGGACAGGCTTAATAGCGATTAAATAATCCATTGCATAGACAGGAAACACAGCATACAACCACAGAAAGCCCTCCATAGAGTGATCTTTTTAATTGTGTCAAAAAACATTAGTAAAATGGTCAAAAAGCACATATTTGGTGTAACAGATGTTATGCAACAAGTGAATTGAAGCATGTGAATAACATGTGATGTTGAAATGAATTAGTGAAAGTTAAACAAACCAGCAGAACCATGAGAGCATATCACAACTTTGTGGTTAAAGCCCATAACTGCTAATATTTACAGGATGGGCTTGTGTCAATGTGGACAGCACAACTAATTCATTATTATTATTAAAGGAAGAGAAATAAAGAACACACACAGAAGTGTCCCTGTGTGCTTAAAACTTTAATAACAGAATTTTGTGAGTTTACAAATTCATAACAGAATATGCTGACGTAAGGAAAATATAGCAAAATATGACATGACTGAATGATGAATCTAACATCAAATGAAAGAACTTGGAAATATGAAAGAATTTCCCCATGGTTGTGTATCCATCTCAGTCCTTTACCAACTGAAATGTGTCCGTAGCACCAACTATCAAAAGCTGGCATCATGTTTCTGGCCAAATTTCTATATATTTGTAGATCAGATCATTAAAATCAATAACTCAGGAATTGTATTAAACAATACTCAGTCCCATTTATACACAATATGTGTTTATATTCAGATGCAGCTTTAGACTTGCTCAGGAAGTCAAATATAATCACATGTACTATTGCTTTGCTTCTGCTAGCACTAGTAAAACAAATAATGATAATCTATTGATGTGTGTGTCCAGAGTGAGATGGGCAACGAGACTCTGAGTGTGTCAGAGAGCATCAGGGATCATTCCAGGTCCTTCCTGCTCACCATCAACCTGAGGGAAGGACGCAACCTGGTCATCAGGGACCGCTGTGGTAAGAGTCTCATCTTAGCACTGCTGTTACTACAACTACTGTAACAGCACCAACACTATCACTAAGGCTGTCACTATCAACAGTAGCACTATATTAGCTTTATCATGACAAGGTGACAGGTGATGCCACAGGACAACAGGGAAGTCTAAAAAAAAGGGACACAGATCATTTTACATAGGATCAATACAGTAGAATGTACAGAGCAGAACTTTCTTTGTGTAATTATGTAGTGTTTCATGCAGAAGGTAGCAGTTTCAGAGTCATGCGGTACAATAGAACAACTTAATGCAGGTAGATGCTAAGATGGTAAAATACCTGGAACACATTCTGAGTCTGAGCTTGAGCAAACAACGTTAAATCAACAGGATCTTCAGCCTCCGTGAGGTAAATTATTCCTGATTGGTCAGAACAAGGAAACTGGGCGGTTGCACAAACAAATAACACTTCAGCATGTTAGGAAACACAACAGCAAAGAAGAAGAGAAGTGACATAGTGGGATTATGTTTATTTTCATACATCACTTCAGTAAAAGAATCTGTAAATACTTCACCATTTTAACTTCCTCGCTAACTGTACTTGTGCATATGACCTCTGCCTGGAGGTTTCACGAGATCTAAACCTAATAAGGTAAAGCTTCATAATTGGCATTTTTTCCCAGCAGATATAGTTTTTACTGTGAAGTGTGTTTTGACACTGGCCTTATGATCTTATTCCTGTTACTTCTGACACATGGTTTGACAGTTTATCACCTACGTCATCATGCATCACATTCTTAAAGTGAATAGCTGTCCCAGTGAGTAAGTGCTATTGCTCTTACTCATGTATTCTGTCAATTGTCTTCTCCTGTTGCAGTTGTTGGTTGAATTTGTTGTGCTTTTTCCCACTTGTAACTTTTCCCTGTCACTGCCGATAACTGACGCTGTATCAACTCTCATCTATAGATAAGTTTTCTCAACTTAAGAAACTTGAACCCAGAGGAGTTTGAAACTTCCGAAAACATCACTGTGTCCTCTGCTGGTGTGTGTATTTTTTGCTTGCATCAGCCTCAGTTTGTGTGTTTAGCCTTGGCTTGTTCATGACGGCCCGGAATGTCTGTGTGATTACACACTGTGTTATTGACTCCAGGGACACGAAAAACAGCCGTGTGTCAGGTTGGCTGTGAAGCTCTTATAACAGCTGGGGCAGGATTCCACAAATCATATTACAACCTGTCTGAGCCCCACCCAGCATTCACTACACCAGGCCTTTCACTCTGGGCATGCACTTCAATTACATTTTCTCCTGCCTGTGTGGGTTCACATTTGCACAACCAGGCTCTGGGTAAAGATACTGAGAATGGAGGGGGAGGATCAAAAAGATTTGGTTTCACCACAGTATTGTTAAAACTATATGGCCTTTTAAAAGCAGTGCAGGAACAGCCTTTTGTTTTTCTCTTTGATCAGGTTATATACACTGAATGCACAGCATATGCCTGCAGCTGCCGATGGTTTGTTGTGTAATGGGGTTATAATGCAATGCTTATATTGTAACATCAAAACTGATGTAAAACTGCCCAGAACCAGGCACAATTTTACAGGACATGGATGCAGAGTAGTGAAAGCTTACCATCCAGTGATCCTGTGTTTGGGTGCCTGCTGCCCTCATCTGGTCAACAGAACAGCTGAAAGTCTCAGACTTTACTTCCTTTACCCTGAGGTGAAAATGATTCATCACAGGAGCAACAGATGTGAGACATAAAAATATAAAACATTTATAAAGCTGAATAAATAAATAATAAAAAACTAAATCTGTGTTCTTAATTCTGGTATACTCACATTTACCTGTTGCCCCTTCTGCATATGGCAGTCATAAGATCTTAATAAACAAATGTAACATCACAAAAAAAGCTCAAATGTGATTGGCTATTGATTCAGGAAGTTGTGGTCACTTTGGTTGGGGAGAGAACAAAACCCACATCCTCCGTGAAGACATGAGATGACACTACAAGCACTCTGGTCCTCCCATTTACTGGAAACTGCTACATTTCCCTAGAAGTTAAGAAACGAGAGAAAGGGCTCTTTAGCAACTTAGTTTGGAAATTAGAAGCAGAGTGATTTCATTGGTGTTTATAACAGTCAGTCACGATGACAAGTCAACCCTGCTTTTCAAAGATGGCAAATAACAGCTCAGGAGGAATATTTTTTGACCTATAGAATAAAACAAAACCTTTTCAAAAATGGTTGGCTATCACTTAATTTAGGTCTGACCAGTCAGTTCATCGTATAAAATCCTTTGGCATCATTTTCAGGCTAAATCAACAGCTGCAGTGTGGTCTGTTTGTTCATGTCTAATCCCCAGTTGCAGAAACTGTCTCCATCAGCATTCATTTGTCCTAGTGAGGTGCCAGCACCAGGTACTGATGTATAACAACAACAACAACAGCAACAAGTATCAGTAAATAATCTAAAGTGCATTGTGTCATGTTTGTATCATTTTCAGGTACCAGTGACCCTTACGTAAAATTCAAATTGGATGGCAAAACGTTCTACAAAAGCAAAGTGGTTTATAAAAACCTCAACCCCACATGGAACGAGACCTTCTCTCTACCTGTGAAGGATCTGAATCAGAAACTCTACATCAAGGTAACTGTCACTCCTCATGTGTTTGATTTTTCCGGTGTTCAGAGCCATTTTGCATTTTCCAGTGCTCTGGGGACTTTATGTGTTTGTCCCTCAGGTGGTGCAGCAACATAACCATGCATAAGGGAAGTTTAATTTGCACAAACAAATATGAACCGAACTGGAACTGGTGTGTATACACACATCAGGATTAGCTTAGTGGTTTTTCAGCTATGTGGTATAAGTCAGCACATGAATTAATTCATCAATTCTCTCAGCAAAAAATATCAAGTCAGCTGCAGTTTCAGCCGCTCACCCCTCAAGCTGAAGCCCTAGAGCATGTTAGGGCATGTTTCTTCTTTGCTGGATTTCATTTCAGTGACTCATTTACAATCAAAGTATGTGTTGTAGTGTTGTAAAAACCCACGTCTGGTCAGTTTCTGCCCATATAAAACAACACAGACAGTAGAGCTTTCAGCCACTCACTATTACGTTCTCACTATCAACGTTCTCTTGTTGTTTGACATGACACAGGTATACGACCGTGACCTGACGACTGATGACTTTATGGGCTCTGCCATTGTCAACCTGAGTGATCTGGACATTGACAAGTGAGTCGCTCGGTGATGGTACGGTGGTTAACTCTGAGTGAGTGTGGCATGTGCTGGAAGCAGCGTTAGTGTACACTGTGAGTGAGCTTATAAACTGATTCTGAATTTTTGTGGTCAATGCTGAATCTGTTGACAGTATATTGGCCAGTGATGTTTCTTTTCATAACATAAACATTTTTTATAATGACTCCTTAGATTTTTTTTTTTTGTGACCATGATATGCTCTGAGGGGGACACTCTGCACTTACTCTGCAGTTGAAATAAACTTGTCAGTGCTTTTTGATGGACAAACTATGTATCAGAGACACTTTTCAAATTTATGTTAAACACATGTTGTGTTGACAGTGCCTTGGGCTATAAGTGGTGGAAATTAGGATTGGGTGGGAGGAATGTTTGTCCCTCAACTATGAACAGTGAAGTTGTAGATTCACTGTCTAATCAGCATGTACTAAACCAGTGGTTCCCAACCCTTTTGCCTTGTTACCCCTTAAAATGCTACTTTGTGTACTTGCCAACCCATTGCTACAGATTGCACCATGTCTGTGCATGGTGGACATTTAAAGTGAAGATTGAAATTATTGTTTTTGGGCCTAAAGATGTAAAATCCACAAGCCGAAATGAAAGATCAGAAAACATCAGAAAAAATAGAAATAATTTTCTGCAGTAAAAATGTGTTCGTTAGGAACCACTGTAGTCAACTAAAATATCAGTCGTGCTTATTATTGATGAATGCATTGTCTACTTTTAGCATACGTTGTATTGAATGTGCTAACAAAGAGTGTTGCATAAATAGTTGGGGACAGTTAGCAGGGCCCTAATTTTAATAAAAACTAGCATACTACAATAGAATATATCACGTGCCACCTTTTCCTGTCCTTCCAAAAGTCCAGATCAATTGTTAACCAGCCCACACACTGAACACAAATGTACGGTGTAATGCAGCCACGCTGCAGTAAATTCTGTCTTTGTGAAGCTTATTTTGTGCATTTTCATTGACATGTGACGCAGACATGTTGATTCAACTCTGTGATAAATTCAGATACTTATCTGTTACAAGCTAATGCAACAACGTGACAAACTACAGCCACCTCTCTGACACTGTGTCAGCAAAACTGAACATGGTATTAGGTAACATTTACTGCTGGGCTGTTGTGTTGGATTGTATTAGACTGTAGAGGTGTACTTCAATAATAGACGGGTAACTCAGCGCATATTTAAAAAAACAAAAACAAATGTGCCTGCTTCCACAGCCCACATTAACCAAATAACCCACTTCTGCACCAGTGCAGCTGCACAGCGCCCTCTCTCTGGCCCACCCCCTCTCTAATCTAGATCTGTTTAACTTAAATTGAAGCCAAAATTTGCTTTTTTCTTTTTCCTCCAGAGTCAATGAGCTGTCTTTGCCCTTGGATGACCCAAACAGCCTGGAGCAGGACATGGGCATAGTGTTAGTCGACATGAGTCTGTCACTCAGAGGTGGAGACAGCAAAAAAGGCCAAGTATGGCATGCTCCCATTTATATTTACTACATGTTTTCTAGCATTGGGGAGAGTTGTTATGCATTATATTTATTGCATGTTTATGTTTAACTCAAAGTCTCTGTCTATGTCCTACTAACGGAAGTGTTTTTGTTTTGCACCTAACATGTATGCTCCTGTCGACAGCGGTGGCCCCAAAAACGAAAACGAAGTATTAGGGTAAGAAAAGATGGAGGGAAAACACTGGACAGACTAACTAACATTTAGTTTAGTCACATGTCTACATGTTTCTGCCAAATGTAAAAGAGAGACTCCACTGCATCAAGAATAAAAAGCTATGGTGAAAGACAAATATAGAGCTTCCACTATCATGCTCAGGGTTTGGCATCTGATACAGCTCAGACTTGTCGAATGATACCACAAGATACACAGCAGCTCATCTTGTGTCTCATAGTTGACCAACATTTTATTCAGACAGTTTCTGTTGCTGTTTATTTTGGTAGTTACTGTACTTCAGTTGAAGAATTGAACTGAATAGTTTTTGTCTCTTTGCACAAGAGGGCAGCAGATCACCACATAGACAACACTCTGGTTTCTGTGGTAAATTAAATCTGACAAATGTAGATGTCTTTATTAATTCTAGGTTAAACATCAGGACTCTAACTGTCAGTGATAACTTTAACTTTACACCTGCCTAGTACTGAGTAAAACCACATTTTGCCTCTGAAACAGCATAAAGTTTTTCTGTGCTGACTCAGTACACAGCTCATTTTGTTTTAACTTTAGAGTCACCCTTCTACACACTACTGCAGAACTCAGCTACAGTATTTGTGAACTTGTGACCTTCCTGTTAAGTCTGGTCTATATTTTCTTATCGTGAACAAATCCTGTGAAAAGACCCATATGAACAACGAATTAATCCAGTTAACAACTATTGTCTGTGCATCAAAAGCTTGACTGTGAACATAGTCACCGTAGTTAATTTCAAATCTATCCCACATCCACCATCCTGCTGCCACAAATACTAAATTATTGAATCTTTTAAAGACACTCTGTATCTATTGCTAAAAGTGTTGTTAGTGGGATATCAGTAAAAGAAAGATCATATTGTACGAGGAGCGTAAGTACACAAAGTCAGCAAACATCAGCAAAATCAGTTGCATCAGCCACCATAAGCTACTGGTCATACCAGAGCAAGTAGGGCTGTAGTATTATATTGAGTGTATTGAATTTAGCGAGAGTGTATGAGTTCAACTATTTATTTATAAGAAGAAGAAGAAGAATGTATTATTTATCTTCAAAGGTTATATAGTGTGGCTTTTAAAAATTATATTTGTGAATGGTTTTTAAAGATTTAAGACTTGAGGTGCGGAGCCACAGACACAGACAGGGTGGGGACACTGAGAAGGACTGAGTGAGGGACTAATGCATTGTTGGTTGTGGGATTTTAATAATAGAAATCAATATATTTATATGGAATATTGACGGCCTTATCCTTTAGATGAGTCCGAACATTATGTTCTGACTTCACTGAGGAGACGGTTTCTCCCACAGAGCAGCTGCATGCTCATCACACCATCCTCTGTAGTGCAGGAATCTATCAGTCTGAGGATGGCAGTTCGCTCTCAGATGCTGCAACCACCACATCAGACATCTTTGCTCATTCCTATTCAAACAACTGTTGACCATGTCAGTTTACAGATTCAGCTGCAGCCAGGTGTATCTGTATTTGGATACCATTTGCTTTAGTAAACAGGTGTACCTAATAAAATGTTCACTATGTGCATGTATCCCCTGCAACTACAGATACTTACTGTACTCTGCCAAGCCCATTCAGAGCTGCATGTTAAGTGAAACATCATTTTCTGCTTATGCATGAGGCAGAACAGAGTCAGACAAGACAGCAGTGTCAGCTTGATCCGTGTTAATTAAATCTGGGTTAAATTTATCTCCCTACAGCGCTGTGTCTACATTTACGCTCAGCTAATTATCTTAGAATACGACTCGACTTCCTACTATACAGTATATATAAGAGAAGATGCTGCTCTACGCTGTAGCAAGCTTTACCTAATCTCTCAGTGAAATGAAGGATCAGTTAATTTTCACAGGAGAAAAGAGATCATGCGGCCTCATTCAGCTTTGCATCGATAAGTGGCCATCTTGGTGGGATGCTGATTGTGATGTTCAGAGCACAGATCTGAAGCATGTATGCATCTAATTTAAGCCTTATAATAGTGTATGTGGTGGTGTTTCGGTTTCCTCCCCTTCTGTCTCTGCGTCATGCATGTGTGCAGTGTTGAATAGTGAAAATATAACTGGGCGGAATGTGAAAGGAATTAGATTAATTTTTTCTGTTCATGATGGGAATTGTTTTGTTTTTTTTTCTCCTTCTTTCTTCTCCTCTGCTGCAGTCGGGAGCGTCCCCTCAGAGCTTTCGTCTGTCAGAAACACTGAGGAAGAGTCAGCTGTGGACTTCTGTTGTGTCAGTGACTCTGGTTGAGGGTCACGAGCTGCCGCTGGACACTCAGGGGGGTCAGCTCTTTGTCTGCTTCAGATTGGGAGAGCAGAGATACAAAAGCAAGGTACTGGAGGACTAATTCTTTTCATCTCCCGCAGCCCCCCTCCCCTCCTCTCAAATTGTCCTTGTTATTCCTAAGCCCTCTCATCATTTCCCTCTCGTACCCCTTTCTTTGTCTCACACTACCTTTCCTCTCCTCCATCCCCTTTCGCCCCCAGTTCTGAAAACTTCACTACTTCAGCCCCTCTTCCATGAACCCCTGTTTTCCTTCCCTATTATTTTCTTATCAAATGCCATTTCCTTTTCCTGTTCCCTCCAAATAATATTGTTTGCTCAAACTTTCTCCAATATTGACTGTGATTTATTTTGTTAGTACTCACAGCCATACATTACATATAATTATTAGTTATTGGGGAATTCATGGTTATATTTGTATGTCCAACTCACTCTGGGTAATTGAAAGCCTCACCTACAGTAGACACATGAAAAAGAAAAAAAAAGTACAGTAAAAAGGTAAAAGAAAAAAAATCATAAAAATCAAAACAAAAAAGGTACACAAGAAAGGTAACAATAATAACTATATTATTAATAATATGATTATAATGATTCTGATGATGATGATGATTGTGTTTACAGTTGATGCCATTACACCTATGACTTGATAGTAGAGGCATCCAGATGTGGACAGTGTTTCTCTGATGCTGAACACATTTACTTGCTTGTGTAAAATGCCTCACAAGACACTGTTAATGTATTTGTTTATGTTATGTGCACAGTGAGATTGTTGTCATTCATTGGAATTTGGATTACACAGTAGATTTGTACACTTATTTTGCATTATTGTTTTTGTTTTCTCTTCAGCTGATGCCAGAGTGTTTAGTGATTATGTCAACAGTCAATCTGTTTCAAAAGTGCAAATGTGAAGCCCCCGTGACCTTTATAATCTTTCTGTGAACACTCATTATGTAAACGGGACGTCCTGGGAAAAGAAACGCAATAAGAGCCAAGGAGATATATAAAATATGTTTTTAATGTGTATGACATACACATGTGTGTGACATAAAAGGCCCAAGCGCTCACCGCTGCTCATCCAGGCAGCTGCATGATGTCTAGCAGTGATGCTCACTTTCTTTTGCTGCAGGCTCTGTGGCAACTGTCATTGATGATTATCCTGCTGCTCATTTATCTTGCAACATCATGCATTACACATCCAAGCTGCATGCTAATGAGCAGCATTGCTCCTTTTCTTTCTTTGTATTTAGGTTCAAAGTAACAGTAATTATTTATTTTTACTTTGATGTGCAGTGGAAACAACAAAACATTCACATAGTCTTTTGAAAAAGCTGGACATACTGCTACTAGCTTATTTTTTAAATATTAGTTGTGAAGGCTTATCTTGACTACTACAAAATTAAGAAAAGGAGATAAGTGTGGCTATGTTGAATGGCTGCTGTTATTATTCAATTTACATGTACATGAATGTGAAAGTAGTTTTTGATTTTTCGTGTTCTTTCTGATTCAGAATCACTGCAAAATGGCCAACCCTCAGTGGAGAGAGAGGTTCACCTTTAATCAGTTCATGGACAGTCCGGAAATCCTGGAGGTGGAGCTCTGGTCTAAAGAAGGACGACGGAGCGAGGAATGTTTGGGAACGTGAGTCTCTTCAGCTCTTTGAGCCTGCGTGCTTGTTTGTACAGTATGTACGTAACAAACAGTGTATGGAGTCTGACAGATGTCTGTTGGACCAGTATGAAAGCGAATGATGCGACTCATCATGCCTGAACCTTGCGACAACAACTGTGGATGTGTTTATTAATATAAACTGAAGTAAGATTTTGTAAATGAATGGCCTGTTTCCCACCTCTGTATAGGCTGATGTAGTTAGATAATTAAGAAGAGATCCGTAGCATTTTCAGAACAGTTACTATAATTAACACAATATCTTGTGTGTACTTGGTTGTGTGCACACAGCCAAGTAAACAAAATAAATGTGCATTTATGCTTGTGTAGGCCTATGTACTGAATGCTGTCTTTCTATGTTCCTGTGTGCATGACTGAAATTGTGCTGTGCGTTTGTGTGTACAGGTGGGAAGTGGACCTATCCAAGGTCCCTTTCAATGAAAAGCAGCTGTTCACACACACACTGGAATATGGGAGAGGACGCTTAGTTTTCCTCCTCACACTGAACACATGCAGCGGCGTCTCCATCTCTGACCTGTGTGCTGCACCTCTCGACGAATCTCACGAACGACAGAACCAGCTGGACAACTACGTCAGTGTCTCTGTGCTGTGTGTCTTCTGTCTGTAATTGCTGCATCACTTTGCTCCCTACATTACCCAGTACAAGTGTCAGTACACCTGACACCCCTGTCTTTGATTGACGTCAGCCCCATGATACTCAGTCAAATCCAGATCCATCCTTTTTTCTCTGTACACTGTATCAACACAAGGCAACAACAGAACACCCATGTGTCTGTTACTTTGAAATGCAGCATAGCTTCATAAAGCACTAATAGTCAGTTAAATGCTCAGGTAATCAGAGCTCAGGAGAATCTGGAGTCAGTCCACATTTTCTGGGTCAAGTCAAGTAAAAGGCCATTACAGTTTCTTCAGAGAAATTCATGTGTGATTGTCTCAGTGTGATGAGAGCACTTTCTGTGTTCTGTGTTGAAGGGCCAAGAGATGGCAGTATCTGTCTAGCCAAGTGCTGAGAGCCTGTAATTTTTCTGCTCTGTCAGTGTTGAGCTACAGAAATTTTTTTGGACATTGTGTTTTGAACTTCATCCAGGCGGTTGTGTAGTGAGTTCAGAATATTAAAACCTGTAGGTTTTACAGTAAGTGTTAGAGCTGGGCGTCAAGGGAAGAGAGATGCCCCAAGACATTGTACACAATGAAAACAAGATTGAAAGATCTCCTCTGGTAAATTATAATGTAATGTTAAATTTGAAGTTGAAAAAAACATGACTGTGGCAGAGAGACCGTACCAGAGCACCAGGCTCCCAGATGCCTTAAACAATCTTATCAAAAGCTGCATTTATCGTACCATGTTTTTTATGTCGTAGTCCATTAAATAAAAATCATAAATACTTTACATTGCATTGCTAATAACCATTTCCCAAATATACTATATATTTTAGCTGTTATATCCTGTTACACCTTTCTTGCAGCCACTGGTTTCAGTTCATACCAGACAAGTTTGACAATGAACTTGCTTTAACTTGAAACTGTCAAAAGTTAGACTTAAGTGTATCAGTGCAATTACAAGCTCTGCCTGTTCTGAGAACATGACGTGTTTGTGTATTTAAGTTCTTGTGAAAAACACTGAAAAGAAACCTTTCTATTGCAAAATGAACTACTTCACGTGAATCCCTTCATGCCCTCAGCAAGTATCTGGTCTGAGTACTATCACGCAAAATACTGTAGCTTGCAAAAGCACTGCAATTTAGTGGCGGTCGCTTCAAACATAGATGCACAACTTTCCACAAATATGTATTTAAACAATCTTTCAACATTTATTGTAACATATTTCTATTGTCAAAAGCTGAACTTTGTTAGGAAAAATCTGCATATGTCTGCATATATATAGACTCGGAGGCTCACCTGGTAGAGCGCATACCACATAGGCTTAGTCCTAGCCGCAGCGGCCATGGGTTCGAGCCCAACCTGTGGCCCTTTGCTGCATGTCATCCCCCCTCTCTCTCTCCCTGAATTTCCTGTCTCTCTCACTGTACTGTCTGAATTAAGGCAAAAATATAACTTTAAAAACATTTGGACATAGAACATGTACATGCACTTGAATGAATAGAAAATCTGGCACATATTTCCCATGATAGTCTCTCGCTATGTGCATGTTGTTCCAGATCCAGATTTTTAAAAATAACTCTGCTCTGAATTTTTCTGATTTAAATGTTTCCAAAACCTCATGCTTCTTGTTTGCTCACTGTCTCCACAGGGTTTAAAAAGCTCCCTGAAAAACCTCCGTGATGTTGGTTTCCTTCAAGTTAAAGTCATCAAAGCTGCAGATCTGCTGGCTGCTGATTTAAACGGTACGTCTCACATTTGGATTTAACTTCTTTCTTTATTCTGTTGTTACAGTAAAATGGATGGAGGGAGCCCATTGTTGAAGTGTTGTGTGTTGTGTCCTGTAGGTAAGAGTGACCCTTTCTGTGTGCTGGAACTGGGGAACGACAGACTTCAGACCCACACCATCTATAAGAGCCTCTACCCAGAGTGGAATAAAGTCTTCACATTGTCAGTTCGACTTTGTCTCTGCAACCACATTTTATCATTAATCCCACATGATGCATGCAGTCTGAACCACATGTGTGCTTCATGTTGCATCTGCTGTGTTACCTGACCTCCTTGTTTGTCTCCACAGCCCTGTCAAAGACATTCATGATGTTCTGGTGGTGACTATCTTTGATGAGGATGGAGACAAGGCGCCAGACTTCCTGGGAAAAGTTGCCATTCCCCTGCTCTCGGTAAACACTACCTCACTAAGAGTCCGTCATGCAGACAATAGACTAATCTATTTACACTCTGCGTCTAAATTAAAGTGAAGAGGGCGATAACACTCCAGTGGGTTGAAGACTTGCTAAAATGTAATCCGGCATGACTGATAGTCGGGCTCATGGCTGAGTTCAACACCTGATGCCCTTTCTGTTCCTGCAGATCCGCAGGGGACAACAGATCGCCTTCCCACTGAAGAAAGAGGACTTAGGTGGACTGTCGAAGGGGAGCATCACTCTGGAGCTGGAGGTTATTTTTAACCCTGTGAGTAAAAGTTCAGCCTGCAATGAGGACATGAGGCCTTGATGGATATGAAGTATGGGCCTGATTCTGTCTGTTTCTCATTGCTTCTTTACTTTTTTTTTTTTATCAGGTCAGAGCAAGTCTAAGAACCTTCCAACCCAGAGAGAGAAGATTCATGGAGGATAATCCGAAATTTTCCAAAAAGGTTTGTCACAGTTCTCCTAATTTTAATGTTTAATACAGGGATGACGAAATTAGTTTGCATGCAGTCAAAATAAAACAAAAAAAACTTACATACACACATTTAATATTTGTTGTTTATTTAGTCTGCTTATCCAGAGCAGCATACAGTTAGGTGAATGGTAAATGTCTCTCAGCTTCTTTAGAGCCTAGATTAGATCAGACTGACAGAAAATTAAGGGATTTTCAAGGAAAAACATTCTCTGGTTTTTCTTCATCATATGTGATGGTAAACAGAAAATCTTTGGCTTTTTTGACTGTTGTTTGGACAAAACAAGAATTCACAGCAGATCTTATGATACTGTGGTGGTGAAAAATAATTCTTCACATTTTTTTAACCTTTTCATAAACCAAACAAGTAATTGATGAAGAAGATGATAACAGCTAATTCCAGCCCTAAACTCCATAAGATTAAACTTGGAGGGAACCAACTGTAAGGAGGGTAGGGGTCAGAGGTCACTGCACTCAACAATATTCGTGTAATGCTTGAATAATTAATAAGTAATTTTTTTGAAGAGCTTAGAGACAGAGGGAGAGGTAGATGAAAAGTTGTAGAAGTGATATTTTTATCAGTTATCTCTAACATAAACCTTTTCTCCTTGATTTTGTCTTCAAAAAAAAAAAAAAAACACCATCCCCGAAAGCAAAACTTCCCTTTGGCTGAATTAAGTGAATTGAGCTTTTAATTCTTTTAATTGACCCCAACTGTGACTGAGTTCTTGTCCACTGTTCTACAACATTAGTTTGATATACAGTGTGCAAGACAGGGTGTGACACAGGGTGCCTGACTGTCTGTACTCTGCACAAAGACTCATTGTTGTGAGACAATAGATTGCTCAGTAAAGCCAAAATTGGCTTACACTCCGATGACTTGGGTTGTAACGTGCAGGTTTTCAGTTTGTTTAAATGTTGAAAGTCTAGGTTGACAAAATCAGGTCAGATTTTTTGCCCCCTGACCACATTGGCTCATGCCAAAACATACCAGCCACTCTCACTGTTTCACTAGCTGACCGGATGTTTCATGTTTGGCATGAACAGAACGTAATCATATTATTATTATTATTATTATTATTCATGTTGTAAACATGACTGCTGTAATATTTATGTGTTTTGCATGTTTATGATCTGTATCTTTCAGGCTCTGGCCAGGAACGTGCTGCGTGTTCAGACGCTGTACAGAGCTATCATGTCGACTCTGCAGTACATCAAAAGCTGCTTCCAGTGGGAGAGTGTTCAGAGGAGCCTCCTAGCCTTCCTGGTGAAGTGCTTTAACTGCTTATCAACACACTATCTGCATTTCCCTCTGTTTTCCCTTTAAGGCTGCGGAAGACAACCGCAGTCTGGCCAACCTCTACTTGAACTCTCCCAGCGAGAATCTTAATCAATGCGGTGTTGGGCTCAGCAGAATCGCAGGCTTGGCCACGGCTCTGTGCTGGAGTGGAGACGCTTTCAGTGTTGCATATGTCGCGGATGCAGAGTTAAACCTCAGCTGGAGAGAGTAGAGTCCCAGTGGAGTCGTGATAGAGTCTATTTTTGTTCTACTTCCCTGACAACTCATTAACCCTCTGTCCAATCTGCTCGATTTCATTTAGACCCCATTATGCAGGCAGAAGTCCAATTAAAAGGCTCTTCAGAGCTAAGACTGATTCTCCATCCTGCCATTGTTCAATACAAGTGTTAAGCAAGTGTAAAGGCAGAAACACAGGAAAGGCCATTCAGCCCTTGTTGTTTAAAGTGCAAAGTGAAGTGGGTGCTGATCTTTTTGACATTATTATCTCCCAAATCTGACTCCATCAATACAGCATGCAGCAAGTTGTGCATTAACGATGCAGGCAATCAAGGTCATGTGGAGTTCTTTTTGTTTTTAAAGCTGATGTCCTGTAGATGGCACTAAAGCTTTTCTCAGCATCTAAACACTTTCTTATGAGGTTGGTGAAGAGATACTGTACGCCCGCCAATAGTACAGTTTGTTCAATTTACTGTGAAAAATGGGAGCTGCACAACAGATCTGTTATCTGAACAGAAGCCACAGTCTGGGTTTTAGCTTTTATTCATGCATTTAGTTTTATAATTCAGGATTACTTGGGCCTCTAGAAAGTGTGTGATCCTGGCTGGGGTAAGAAGGTCAGTGTGCTTTAACTAGAAACTGTTTGCAATTTAAATAGTTAAAGCACAGTTAATGTACAGGCACTCACAATAGATTCTTACACCGTGTAATTCTGAAGAATACCCAATCCCCTCCTTCTTATAGATGGTGTTAATTATTGGGGATGATATTGGTTTTTTTTCCTAACCGCTCAGACACACACACATGCTAAAGTAGGAATCATACAAGCATGAACAAGCACACAATGTACACACACATTCGCCCACTGCAGCTCAGTGTTTGAAAGACAGCACCATCTGTACTCGTGTTTTCACACTAATGCTCCCTGCCTTTTCAAGCCTCAGTGAGAAGAAATAAATGCCTGGTTTAATGCCGCCACATAAGATTAATGAATCAAAGCTACCCTCTACATGACAGGATACAGTGACGGACTACTTGCAACACCTGCCGATTGTCAAACACCTTCGTGCAAAGAGATTCAGTCAATATAATATACTTTAAATACACCAGTCAGCCAGTCAGGTACGGGTTATCTCAGTGAGAAGCCTCAGTCCTGGCAGTGTTAGTGCCTTATCCTGCCCTCTGAACTATCACATATTGTTGCCCTTCATCACTTTGGTTTGTAGAAGGTGGTCAGCCCTCTTATTTTGAAATATAACAGTAATACTGCCAGAAAATAAAATGCAGCCTTTTTCCTGATAGCACACCCCCGCTTTTCCACTCACACTCCAACTAAACACAGAAACAAGAGGGGTCACCCAAAATACTAAGTGGCTTTGTTAGAAATAAGGAGAAGAAGAAGAAAACAACGCAGTTCTGAGAGTGAGAACAAAAGCATTACTCCTACATGGAAGTCGGCGTCATCCACCTCATCCTTTCGCTTCATACAAGAAATGTATATGCCCCACTTGAGGTACATACAACGAATTACATATTCTACAGGATATTCGTTTATATGCAGCAACATTTTTGTCACTTGGTCCTGAAAAGGAGGCTCTTGATGCATTTTCCAATTCCTTGCATCCAATTAATTTTTGCCAACCAGTCAGTGATTGCAGAAAAGCAGACACCTCCTGAAATATAAAGTTTTGGATGCAATACAAACTGGGCAACATAAGAACAATCTTCATCCAAAATTGATGTATTTTGCAGCTTGTCCACAGTGCATCCAGCAGTGTTTCCTCATCAAACCTATATTTCTAGCAGGTTACAGAGTCAACTTTACTGTATATAACCTACTGGGGGTTCAGTAGTAACAATGTAAAATCTTAAATTTTATGCTGTTTAACTTTTCTAATAATGTTTTGCTTACTTGTTCTGGTGTGTCATTAGTTTATGGCAGCTAATGCTAGCTAATTTTTGTATTCTGGACTAGGCTAGAGAGTGCTGTTCACTGACTTTAAGAATCTTCTCCTCTTGTGCTACTGTTACTCTACGTTGTAGCATTCATCAATTGTCCCATAATTGTCACTTGAGGTTGTTCCGCAAAGGTTACTTGTTCTGGCTTTACAACAGTGAGTGGTTTCAGTGATGGCAGTGATTTCTGTGCTCTTGGATTACCTCTGTGCGATGCAAACCCTTCCCCAAGCATTAGTGTGGAAATCCTACTGCATTCTGGAAATGTGCTACCCTCCAGTTCAGTAGCTCTCCCAACATTAGGTAGCCTTTCATATTTTTTGTTTCCTCTAATCTCGATTGTATTTCCAGATCCCTTTTCGCTGTCGAAGACTGTGTAATGCCTCTCAAGCTGAAATGGGCTGCAGTTATCACAATCTTTATGGGCTGAGTATACATTTCCACCAAAGCGTGACTTGGCTTTCCCCTTGTCCCGGCTCTCCCACTCATTACAAAGTCCTCACTAATAAAACATAACCCTTTCAGTGAGGAACTGGTTTCATCTCCTCTCCCAGGCCCTGTTTTGGCTTGTGATAACACAGTCAAGAGCGTGCTTGGCTTTTTGCACATTAAAGCTGATGGTGGTAGTGGTGGTGGAGGCGAGGAAGAGGGGGATCATCTTTTATGCCAGTTGGTGCCTCAGAGGAGAGTGATGTCTTTACCAGATGTTCACTTCTATTTTTATTAGCATTTAAAAACCTGTAAACCGTTCCCCACGCCTTTTGGCTCACTGCCATTTTGGCCGCTCTTACCGGATTATTTTATAGTTCCATTTAGCGATCCAGACATCACAATCCATTTCTCTTTATTCTCTCATCCATTTTACCTGAACCGCACACAGGTGGAATGTGCGCCACAAGGATGGATTTTAATGACATATTCACACACAGGCCCCCGCCCCCTCCCTGTGCGGTCAGCTTTAATGTACACAAGATGAGAGAGGCAGAGCAATTAGACCTATGTGGTTAATGTCAGTGTATATGCAGGGACTGGAGGGAGAGTCAGTCCTGCTGAGCAGAGTGGCCGCGCTGCACAGCGTATGCAGGATAACTGTATGTAGGAAGCCAGGCTTTTATAGTGGCAGGGGTAGCCCTCATCAGCTTGATCAGTGCTTATGTAATCAATAGCAGATTGGATCAACCTTTAGCTAGCAGGGATTCAGGATCAATTGAAAATGTCTTTGAGTGTGACTTAATGAAGAGCAGTTTGTTTTGTCCTGCCATCACCCTGGTGCCTGATCTGACTGATCTCTGACTTGTGCGGCCCTCTGCCTGCAGGTGTTCGTGGTGACAGTGTGGTACTGGGAGTTTTACATGCTGCCCCTCTTCCTGGTTTTGCTCATCTTGAGGAACTACCTCTGGATCCGCTCCGGTCGGGTCAGTCAAGACCTGGTGAGTCCAGAGCAGAGCTCATCCATCTTCTTCTCCTTCAGCCCAGGGACACTGCAGGCTCCTGTTCACTTCTTTATAGAAAAACAACTATCTCAACCACGTTTTGCTCTCATAATTAAAAGCTGTTTGTTTATATAAGTGCTGTCCATTCACCATTTCCATAGCAACCAGCTGCACCTTTCTACATAGCAAATAATAATGAAATAATACATAAGCATAGAAAACTCAGTGAAAGGACTAATGCAACATATCATTATAGCCTAAGCTAATTGGCTGTGTTTTCTGCAGTCTAGTTGCTGTCCTGCATCCTGCCTGTTCTTCACTGTAATTGGTCTGTTGCCTGGTTCTTGTTGTGACTGGTCAAATAAAAAAAGATTTTTAGCGCTCTGCTCTGAAAAGGTCACAATTAACAGTGTTTTTTTTTTTTCTTACTGTTACCAGTTTTATCACTGGAAAAAAAGGTAGTATCCTGTCTTTATCCAGTGTAGAATAGCAGCTGTATTTACTGTATACAGTAGTGGTAGTTCAGCACACACTATAGGTTATAGCAAATTATATACACAGAGAACTGTTCAGGCAACAACATACTTTATTATGATGTGAAATCAATGAAATATGCGCTGCTTTATAATTAGGTAGGGCGCAACTAATTATTATCAATTAATTTCTTGACAATTAATCACTTGTTTAGATTGTAAAATGCCACAAAATTTTGAAAAATAGTCACTCACTGGTTCTCAGAGCCCAGGATTATGTTCAACACTCTAAAACACAGAGAGATTACAATTGGCAGTTAATTTTGTCAATACACTAAACTATTAATCAGCTAACCGTTTTAGGTCTACAACCATGTTAATTAAGACACACAAAAATATTGCAACAATCTTTTTAAAATAAGCTCCGGGTGTTATTATTTCATAATATTTTTCATAATTGACACTGGGTAAAAGTTTGATAGAATTCTTTTTTAAATTTTTTTTATTAGAATTAATTTAAAGCTCCAAGAAATGTGATTCCTAATTTCATTTCTAAAATATCCATTAGTAGATATGCCACAATTATTATATTATATATTTACTCAAACTAATCTGCTGCATCCGGACTGTGTGGGTAAAGTTAATGATCAGATATGATTCACTGGTAACATGAGGGAATAACCTCACAAGTGTCAGATTTCAATTCAAATGTCACTCAGTCCTGATTGGTTCAGAGAATGTGAGAATGTGAGTCCCACTCACTTCAAACCAGACAAAACAAAAATGATAGAAAATCTGTCATGTGAAATAACCAAGAACATTAATTATACTAAGAAGTTCATTGAGAAAATAGATCATTTCATACCTTTGATTAATTTTGACACATCACAAATAAGTAAATAAATAAATAAAAATATATATATTTTTTTTTTTGTCATTTTGGGGCTGCAGAAACAGGCTGGTATTTTAAGTTAACGTAACAATCAGTGGTTATTTTCCATATTCAGAAAATACAGACCAGCACACATTCAGAAAATATAGACCAACATAAGCATTAACTTAACTTAACTGTTTCAGGCGGCTGACTGCAGGGTCACCACTGAGCGACTGGAGTTGATACAGAGTCCCAGTGTCACAATGAGACAAAGTGTATCATGTAAAAGATCTTGGAATCATTCACCTCTCCATTACAATTATTTTGTTTTCAGGACAATATGGATCTGGCAGATGAGGATGAGGACGATGAGAAGGTACGTACATGTGCTGGCTGTTTATTTTTCTTTTTTTTGTTGACTCTGTATTTCTGAATGCTGATGAATAGAAGAGAATTTAGCTTTATTTATTTTGTTTCATGTTGACAAAGGTATCTGCCGATGATCTATGGTTCCATGTTGTTAAGCTCTTTATTCAGTACCAAATCTTCTGATGCATTTTGATTCCTGCCAACAGCTAGTTGTATGTCTTTGTAAACTTGTGGTTAGCAAAAGACATTTGGGCTTAATGAAGACGTTTCCTCATGTCACAACACATTCATATGCAAATAGAGGGATGGGGGAAAAGGTTCTGCTGCATTTGGGAAAGTCCCTGCGCTTAACACGCCATATAATACCATCAATATGGGACTAATGACAGCTCTTAGAAATGCTTTTCCAAAGCTCATTTTGAAAGTTTGTGTTGAAAGTGTTACAATGCTTTTAGGCAATGAAATATTCCTCTAGAATGACAGCAGTTTATTGTAGACGTTTTGAATGGCCTGCGACAGCCTCATGTAAAGTGGTTCTCATACTGGTTCCAGTGGGAACATGACCCTGAAATGGCTCAAGTGGTTTAGTGCAGTGATGGATATTTGACTGAGGTGAAGCTAAATTGTCTTCCATATGGTTTTTTAGACTGATAGTCACCGTGCATATGAACCATCCCAGGTTTGATCCCCTCTGCAGCTCTTTTCCCAGGCTCATCCCCAAAGTCTTGATGGCAGTGAGCCAGCAATCACTCAGTGTTTCCAAGCAGAAGCGAACATATATCACAGAGATCACATGGTGACAAAGACCATGGCTTTGGCCAGTAAACACTCCTTCAATAACCACCACTGCCAGCCCGCCATCCCCACAGAGCCCACCTCCTTTCTTTAGTCCTGTAACCCTCCTCTGCGTTTGATGTGGACATGTGGCCGTGTCTCTGTCTGAAGTCTGGCTCTCACGGAAGAGATCTCCAGAGAATCTGGTCTCCTCTGTTTACTTTAAAGCTGTCCTTCCCTCCTGGGATCTGGTCTAGCCTGAGAATGGTACCTCTTCTCTTTCATAATGTGAAGTCCAGTCCCATTCTGAAGAGCCTTTCACTTCAAAAAGACATGTTCAAACTTGCTTTCAAAGTATCTGCCTTTACATTCACATTTTGCACACTCTCATCTAGAGCAGCGCTGAATGAGTCTATTGCAGTGTTGTGTTTTCTTTCTCAGAGACTCTTGGATGGGCATTATTATGAAGTGCTACAGGGATCAAACCTGTGGCCTTGAATGTCTCAACAATCCGTCTGACGAGACAAAGCTGGACAAGCTCAGTTAGTTTATATTTGAGATGACAAGTTATCAAGAATTTTTTTGCTCTTTTTATGCTGCAAACCATCCAAAACAAGAACATTTACATAAGAATAATAAAACCTTTTCATTTAAGAGAACAAATAATTAAATGTTACATTTACAATTTAAACTTTATTTAACCAGGAATGACCTGGTTACAGGAATTATCTACCTACATTATCCCAATGACAAGGGCAGTGTAAAGTAGTTAACACAAAGTCACATCAGAGTATTCACATGTAGCACAGTTAAAGCATTGTATCACAGTTTTACCTCCATTTTCTTTATCATACCATCTTATGTGTATATTACAATAAATAAAATATGGTTTGTACAAAATGTTTGAATGTCTGTGAAAGTAGATCATGTAAAAACAAAAAGTATCTAACACCATTTTCAGTTGCTCTGGAGAGTTAAGAGTTAAGCTGCATGTCAGTTACTGTCAAAATGAATTATAGCAACAGTGATTTTCAATCAACTCCAAACTTTCATTAGATTCATGATGACAGAGTTCAATTTGAACTTTACTGAAATATTAATACAGGACAGTTTATACTATTACCATTCATTACTTTTTAAATCACATCTGTTTGTATGTTCGTTTTTACTGTCTGTGCTAAAAATGTTGTACTACTGCCCGTGAATAACTTTCCCTACCAGCAGAACAGAAAACAGGAACAGTAAAAAAAAAAAAAACTTGAAAGTCATAGACAGTGTGTGAACTTCTTCTAAGCAGTTGCTGTTTGTGTTGTTTGCTGCTGTAGGAGTCAGAGAGGAGAGGGCTCATGGAGAAAATCCACATGGTGCAAGAAACTGTCATCACGCTTCAAAACCTGCTGGATGAGATCGCTTCTTTTGGGGAGAGGATTAAAAAGTAAGAATTAAAAGATCCATCAGAAATGTTTGCTCTGTACTATTGAATATTTATTTTTATTTCAGATAGAGGGATCGTAAATGTTTATGATCACAGTATGAAATGGATTGTATGAATACATACTGAATATTTTTTACCATATTATTTAATTGCCCTTTAATTATCCATTATAAAAGAAAAAAGTCTGCATTATTGAGGCCTCAGTTACATTTCATTATTTTCCCTACAACTACTGTATTTTATGTGCAATCAGTAAATTCTGATTCCTGACACTTACTGAGCTAATGTTTGTGATCTTAATTTGTCAGCACGTTCAACTGGTCTGTGCCGTTCCTGTCCAGCCTGGCTCTGCTGATCTTTGTCATCGCAGCAATCCTCACATACTACATCCCTGTACGCTACATAGTTTTATTATGGGGTGAGTGTCAAGCACTGTTATGTTTTCCGTGTGGCCCACCCCCCCAGTCCACTAACTGTAATTTGCTGTCTCCCAGCTCGCCCCTTATTTTTTGGTTTCCTACTCTGTTGTTCTATGACACGTTGGATTTATATTACATGTATTATATTTTCGGGCTGCTGTCACTTCTTCCCCTTTATCTCTTTACCATTAGCTGCTTATGATGATGAAGTGAAGCATATTCTATTGTTAAAATGTCTCACTGAAAACTGGAGTGTATAATATTCATCCAGCCTAAAAAATTAAAGTAAAACAAGAAGACGCAAGAAGCACATGCTGTACTACTCATAGTAATATTTCTTGGACAGCAGGAGCCTCCTCTGCAGGTTTCTGTTTGTGTGGAAACAAAGAGTGCAGTTACAAAAGACTACTGTTAATGATATGTTGGTGTGAATTTCTGTTTTAGGTATCAATAAATTCACCAAGAAATTACGGAACCCGTACAGCATCGACAACAATGAGGTTCTTGATTTCCTGGTGAGGGTGCCTTCAGATGTGCAGAAGGTAAGCCCCGCTGGATCAGCCGGCCAGGAAGCCCAAAATCCCAGAGCCCGCTAGCTTTGCATTTTACTACAACAACTCCCAGGCATTCTTCCCTGTTTTCTGTATAATTAGCTTCATCTGTATAATTACGTAGCCCTGTATAATTTCTGTTGTGTTTTGGTCATGATACGGTGGAGGTCTGCTGCTGTTCCCAGGCTGAGACGGGAGACGCAGCTCCTGATGTCTCCTGTTTGAACTGAGCCTGAGCAGACTGTCAGCCTGTATCACTGCATCTCCTCCAATTCATATCAGCCAAAAAGAACTAAAATAACATACCAAATTTTTTCGGTAATTTACATCACTTTGATGTTAAAATTTGCCACAAGAGTCAGCGTCAAGGTTGCAGGACCATTGATGGTTCAAAACGGCTGCCTTATCCAAAAACCACAGACTTAGTATGAACTATTCAAAAGAAATCTCTCCTCTTCCATCTGTGTGACCTCTATTCATCCTTTATTCCCACTCTCCTCTCTGTCCCCTCTCTTTTTACACACCGTCCTCTCTCCTCCTCTCCCTCTCTCTCTCTCTGTCCCTCTCACTCTAAGCTGTTTGACCCCTTTTTGTCTCCTCTCTTTCCTTCTTTGATGCCCTTGGGTCTCTGTTTGACTCTCTGCGCTCTCCACTGACCGCTGTGGTTTTGTCCATAACTGAGTGTTGTCATTGTGCTCAGTGCACATCATCATCCTACACTGCCTGAGTAAAGATATTTTTGTTTAGTTGTAGTAATTGAATAAAAGCAGCATAAGACAAATGAAAAAGAAATGCGGCTCATTGTGGTGCTGAGTCTGCTGCTTATCTCCTGCAGGTTCAGTACAGTGAGATGAGAGGCAGCAGGAAGAAGAAAATCTCGTAAACAGGACCTGATGCTGCCCTTGTGGGCTTCCTACCTAAGAACTGTTTCCAGTGGGTCCGATGGTGGTCTGCACAGTCTCACTTTCTGTTGGTTTCAGGGTGTGTGGTAGGTCTTAATCTGCTGTGGTGAGACATAGCTCCGCACCGCTCATATAGACCTGCACCTAAAGACCTTTCAACCAAAGACATCCACACTGAGGACCCTGCAGAGATTACTTACATGTTACAAATATGACTGATCTGTGCATTTTTCTGGAGCAAGTTGTAATGTTATGTCCAAAGATTGTAGGTGTTTTATTGTATGTACAGTTTATTTTAGATACTCAATCAGAGGCTGCTTTATTTTATATTATCTTCCTGGTCCCAGGCTGTGTTCTCCTGAAACCAACTGAAATATCAGTTTGTATTATACGGAATATATATGTTTGGTATGTGTATATTTTTACATAATTTACATTGACAGATATGATGACTTTAATTCTAAAATAGATCATTCACCTTTTGAAAAAAATTGTTACTGGGATAAAGTAAATTTCGTTATGGGCTACTTAAAAAGTAGAAGTCTTCATAAGGCAGAAAATATTTTTAGAGAATAGTTATATTTTTAAGTGCATGATCGTTGTGGTTTAAATATTAATTGAGGTTGCAATCACTTTTCCTACCTTTTATACTGTATGCCCATACAGCAACATATGAAATGTTATATTCCTCTATTTCTTCCATTGACGTTTGAAATTGGATAAAGAGCTATGTGACTACTTTTCCTTCAATGTCACCAGATGGATTTATATTTACACACAAAGGTGAGTGCCTGCATTTAGTTTTAGATTATCCTACACAGAGGATGCTCTGTGCTCTGTACACACTTTATTTATTGAAGACAATCACTGATGAAGACTGTGTCTCTTTTGTGTAACAGCAATAAATGCCACAATCACACAGTGTAGCATCTTCTATCTGCCTCTCTGTCTCTGTCTGAATTCCCCTGCACGCCATATTCATCCTCTCCATGCACCCGTGCTGCAGGATTGTGGGCGTCTTTACAGCACTGTTTCCGAGCCCCCCTCTCTTCATTAGGCTTTCATGAAGCGACGCAAGGCTGTTGGAGACCTCACCGGCACCCGGGCTCCCCGCTGTGTTGATGGCCCTTGGGCGTCGCCACAAGCAGGAGGACCTCTGCGACCTCCTCTCAGCTGCTGTGACGAGATGCCCGCAGCCAGCGTCCTATCAAACACAGCAGCAAGACAAACCTCCGGTACCGGGCTGCTCACCACTCAGCGGCAGCAGCAGCAGGAGGAGGAGGAGGGTTTTAAAAGCACCCACAAGCAACAACAGCCGCACCAATGTAGGGATCGGAGAATTGGAATAGTTAAGATGCTGGCGTTCAGAGTAATACCCTGGGATTTATGGCTTTTAAGTCAGAGCGCGTGGGCTCCCAGTCAGCAGCCTCTTAAATGAGAAATGAGGAAAATTAGAGGAACATTTGTCCCATTAAATACAATAAGAATCAGCTAGTTTTTCTATCAAAGCTACACAGATGTCCTACATATGAAAGTATTTGATAATTGACCTCATTAGATAGTTAAGAGTGTAACTGATGTCTATTAACTCTAGATTGTTTGATAAGTCCATGAAACTATGGAAATAAGCTTAATATCACTTAACTGCTTAATGCAATGTACACATAATATCCCACACAATGCTACACACACATGAAATAATTTGATCATTTGCCCAATTGTCTTAAGGACAGAGTGTGGAGAACGTGGCAGACGATGACCTGAGTATCTCTTCATCTAGTTATAATGTTGACTTAGGTATTCAATATTAATAACCCGCTGTCAAGGACACTGGAAGGACATCTCAATTTGACACTTATAGGCTCGGCATGAATATGTATGGGCAGCAAGACGCTTCAGAATTACCAAGTAAAATCACGGTTCACACGTGGGGACTAATGTGATGTGGCACATGCATTCTGATGAGCCACAAATACGGCAGCTGATAGGTCTCAAAAGACTTGTTACAACTCAATATCGGACCCGAGAACATTCAGCTGTGTGTGTGTGTGTGTGTGTGTGTGTGTGTGTGTGTGTGTGTGTGTGTGTGTGTGCGTGCGTGCGTGCGTGCGTGCGTGTGTGTGCGCGCGCGCAGAGAAGAGCTGCATATAAATTTTTGCAGAAGGTGTCAATGACCATTATTATCTATTAAGTCTATTAACTCATCAATAACTGCATCCAGCATGGACCATTTGGTCTAATGAGCAACATAGTGTTTAGCTGTTTCCCGACATAAGAGATCACCGGTGAGCAAACTGCAGAGCAGCAGGAAGCTGTGTCCACACTGACAGCCCAGGTGGTTGGTTTATGGCTCACAGTGTATTTCTATGACCATTCACCCTCAGACTCTGGCTGCTAGTTTGAAACCATGTGGCCACTGATATCCTGTGTAGGATTATACAGTCACTTTCATGGAAAAGGGGATACAACATGACATTAAAGCAGAAACATGGAAGTGGATTCCAGTCAAACACTGTTCAGGTCACGTTGAGCTGAGGTCAGTTTCCAAAGATCAGCTCTCAATGTAAGAGATGTATGATGATCCTTAAATTGTGGCGATAAGAGATGTATGATTATCCTAAAATTGCTCTGAAAAGAGAATCATCATTACCATCATTGCTGTTGACCTCTGGCTAAGAACTGCTAATATGTTTTAATAAAGGACGGCTTTTCACACTGCATGGCTGGAGTGAGCAGTTTGACCTCTGAATGCACTTCTTGAATTATCTTTTAGGTTTCAATTAGGAAAATAAGCAGAGCGAAGCATAAGGTTAATGAATTTAATATACAGTGATTATCTCTAAAATATTTTACTTTCAAGGAAAATAAAGCACCAGTTTTAAGAGACAGTTCAACAATTTGGTTGAATGTTGATTTGTTAAATATGAAGCTAAAGCCCAGAGGAAGTGGCGAGGAAAGGCTGTTTTCATACTGTTGCCAGGCAATAAGCAGAGACCCCAGAAAGTAAACTGCCTAGCCAAGAAATAGACCAGTACATAATCCTTGTAAAACCATAACGTGTGATTCTTACGGTTAAGATTTAATAAGAATTAAACAAATTAGATCTTCCCATCTCTCCAATCAGGACAAGTTACGAATCACCTGATTCACTATACACTCAATTTAGTCCTTCTTCACGTGTGCGGAAGTAGCTAATTCGTTGTTTGGCAACAGCCAACTTCAAAGTAGGAGATGAAGTAGCACCCTGTGATTGAAAGCCAATTATAGAGCTAAAATGAATTTTGAGGTAAGAAAGTACACTTTTTTACTTCATTTATTTTTGTAATAGCACTGCCTGCTTTGTAGTTAAACTCTTCAAACTTAAATGATATTTATTGTGTGTCTATGCAGATGTGTTTCATGCTAGTTGTCACTGATAATGTTTTAGCTGTTAGCTGTAAAGTAAGCTACTTCATGGCTACAAGAGTCTGGGTCACATTATCAGATACATAGACACACATGTTAAAAAGATAAGTGTTGAATAAAAAGATTTCGTTACCAAGTTTTTTGCCATAATCTTTATATCATAATGTTACATTTCACCCCAGGGTATGTTACAACTAACCGGTCTACAGAGATAACACGCACACCGTTTAATAACAGACATGTGTAACTGGTTTGTATTACATTTTGAACACACTGGCTTAAAAGATACTGGCTCCAAGATAAAGACAGAAATGTCAAAAATGTTACAATCATCCCCGCTCTCCATTACTCTAAGCCAGGCTGATGTCTCATTTTTAGTGAACCGACATGAGAGGGATCCTCTCCTCTAACTCTTGGCAAGAAGGCGAATGAGCACATTTCCAAAAATAGCTGACTCTTCCTTTAAAAAAATCAATCTGTAAAGTTCTCATTTTGGCAGCTAAAGACTTATTGTTATTTTATTTTATTTTTTACAGTCCTACAGCAACAGGAAGTGTTTCAACTCATCTGTGATCAACAATTTTGTCACTGAAAGCCTTGATTTTTAAAACATTTCATTTCTGTCTCTTCTTCAGTCAAAATTCATTAGCTGTACGTTGTCTCAGTAATGAGCTTGATTCTGACCTTGTGGACATTCCACAGACCACCCCAACGCTCCCCACAGTGTTGACAATCCTTCAGGGAGTCTGGGTCCAGGTAAATCACAGACACAGTGTGTACTGACTGTGCTGCTGCCCAGAGGCTGTGGGCTGACCGTGCTGTCCCGGAGCAGGCCAACATCAAAGCCGTTGATCCAGAGGAGCCTGAGGCTACAAGCAGCCAAGAGCTCTGATCGACAGAGGAGATGCAAAATGATACGGTGAGAGACCAATGTATAGATATTATGTCGGCCTTTTGGCTGGTTTATTTCTGACACCTGGATATTACATATTAATAGTATAAAAAAGTCCTAAAATTGAGTTAGAATCACAAACCTTCGGATGTAAATGTATTAAAAGTTCACAGTCACTGAAAACAGAGTGCATAGTCAACCTCCTGCCCCCACAGCCCTGTCAGATGAACCCAGGGTTCCCTACGTCAACTCCACCTGTCATGGTCCAAGTGTTTTCATCTGTATATATCAATATAGTAAACCTGATAATACTTAACTATTAATTATATAAAACGTCATGTTTTTCATGCAGTTGAACTGTCAGTTTTTAGGTCGGTTTAGTTAAGTTTGCGTTTGCATTTGCATTTGTGTGTTCATGGTTATGAAGGAACGTGTTGCCCAGTGCAACAGTGTTTTAATGGTTTCTTGAAACAGTGGAACTCTTTGGCACAGAGGAGTAAGTTATGTCAGGCTTTAGAAACACACATAAGGCATACTTGTTAGTAGAACCAGGTCATTGTTGGTTTGGGTCTTTTCATGGTATTGTTTGACAATAAGGAAAATATAGATTTTTACCAGAATCCCTAAATGAAAATGAGATTAGATTGTCAACGTTTTCTTGTCTCCATTGGAGCCTTGTGTGAATTTGTGCTTTTTCCAGTGTATGTGTGAAATGATTTACATAAGTAATATAAATTCTATAAGCAAAACTAGAAAACAAACATGTATCATTTGCTTGAATTTATTGCAATTGTGAGTCAAATTACAGATCAAAGGTTTCACACACTTAATAGATCCGATACCATCCTGTCCAGTTGTGAAAGAATATACCAGAAACTTGCCCTTGTTATTGAGCTAATTTGTTTCGCCAAATGATAATTTTGATCAGAAGCATGGTTGTTAGCAGCTGTAGAGCATGTTGATCCTCATGATGTCCCAGTAGGACATGCCCTGCCTCTGGCCGATCTGGACGTTGGGGTCGGGGATGGGGGTGATGGAGTCCCTCCCGTACTGGATGGAGAAGGCTGTTCTTCCATAGTGCATGATGGAGGAGTAGTCGTAGGGAGTGTTCAGGTTGTTGGTGGGCTGCTTGTAGAAGTTGTAGGCCATCTGCGGATCGATGTTCTCCCAGTTGATCCTGACGTATTGGTCACGGTCGCTCCTGGTCTGCTCGTGCTGGAAGCCCAGAGCGTGGTTGATCTCGTGCTGGATGATGCCGTGGTAGAGGCAGCCCTGCCTGTTGAGAGAGAGCACCTGTCTGCCTCCCTCTCTGCCAAGAGCCGAGAAACATCCGGCTCTGTTCTCGACACTGATGTAGTCGTACTCGTTCTGACGGGGGACGAAGCGGATGCAGGTCCTGCTCTGGTAGGACTTCATGGCCACGTCGATCTTCTGCTTCTCCCAGCTGGTGAACTCACCGCTCATGGTGAAGGGGATCATCACCAAGCCGTTGGAGGCTTTCCTCCACAGGCAACTCTGGGACCAGCACGTCATGGCGTTTCTGGTTCTGGGAGCTAGCAGGTCTCCTTCCAGCAGGATCTCATTGGTGGCGTTGTTAGAAGTCAGAATCCTGGTGGTGATGTCC